CAAAGACAACCCTAAGCTTGGTTGTAGACTTTGATTCATTCAATACTCCATGATGAGGCAAGTAGTTAGAATAAGAATACGTAGTATTGAGGTGACTACACTCGGACATGTGGCCTAACTCTATGTACTCTGTCATGAAGCTGACATAAAGTTGTTTTAAGTAGGGGTCCTTGGCCAAACGACGTTCAAGAGAAAGGAAACGACGCTTGGCCATTGAATATGAGTCACCTAACACGTCAGGTGATTCTTTAAGTGGGATAGTGACAACAAACCGTCCATCCGTATCGCGAAATGTGGTCTCTACGAAGATGTCTTCGCAGGATCGCTCCTCGCATGTCTGTTTGTGTTGTGGTTGGACTGAATCTAGCTCCCAGAAGCGATTCAGGCCCAGCCGTAAGTCATCTGTAAGAGTAACAAAAGAGGAACTGTGAGAGGATAATTTATTAGGTTGCTGTAAAACGCCCGTAACGAGCCAACCTAATTTTGAATCTACTAGTGTAGGCATGTTTTTACCTAGCGGAATGCGTGTCGTGCCTATGATACCCCAAAATATTTCCGCTCCGACTAGGATGTCGATGCAAGACGGAGTATGAAAGTTAGGGTCGGCAAGGACTATATTGCTAGGCAAACGGATGTGATTGGTATTAATGAAGGTATTTGGAATTGATGAAGAAACCTTTGATATGACATGGCAGTTTAGATCTATCTCAGATTCACTATGTCGTGACTTTAACAAAATTGTACAGCCATGTGTACAAGCCGAGGACTGATTGTTTATGCCTTTTACTTGAGATTTAATGGGATAAGTATGGATACGTAGCTTGCGGCAGAAGTCTTCAGATATGAAGTTCGCAGTGCTTCCGTTGTCCAGTAAGACCCTGGCATCGTGATGATTGCCCTCAGCGTCTGACACTTTCACGAGCGCTGTGGACAGTAACACAACCCTTGATGTATTAAGGTGATTGGCAGATAGAGCTATGTTTTGCATATTAGGAGACTCTTTGTCTGTGTGAAGCAAAGTATTGTGTTTTTCAGTACAATACCTACAATGGCCTAATTTGCATTTTTGTGCGCAATGACCTGGTCGAAGACAATTAAGACATACGTTAGAAGTGCGAGCTCTCTTGATTCTGTCCTGAACTGGCAAGATTCTAAACTTGTCACATTGGAACAGGAAATGACTTTCTTTACAAATGGCACAAGATAAAGGTTTTGAGTTTGAACACTCGTATGTTACTGCAAAAGATTTGGATTTATGAATATTATTAACAATGCCTTCAGTTTTGTATTTAAACGGTTTAGACTCTTCGAGTGTCTCCAATAAGTCAGCTCTGCTACTGATAAAGTTTACAAACACGCCTAATGTTGGAGGGTCAGCTAAAGAATTTCTGTGCTCTTCCCACTCACGATTCGTCACTTGATCAAGCTTGCTGGTAACTATGTAAATAATCAGAGTGTCCCAGTGCTGGACTGGCTGACCAAGAGTGGACAAGGCTCTTAAATTTTTATTTACTGTGTCAACTATGTGACGTAATGATTTACTTGACTCCTTGTTGTTACTATTCAGATTAAAAATGGCTTGAACATGGTTATTGACAAGCAGTCTTTTGTTGTCGTACTAGAACAGAGCAAATATGCAGTATCGTAATTATCTGAAACAAACTCTAAATTATAATAATAAGAGAGGCGCTACCCGTCAAAGAAGCACGAAGGTAATGCAATTTATTGACTTTGTCTATGGCTTCATTTTTATGTTTAATGGAAATAAATGTTGTCCCTAATTCTAACCAATCATGATAGCTGCCAGAGAATTTAGGTAGTTCAATTTTGGGTAAGCGAACTGATGAGTGTTTGTGTTTGTGCGAAGTATCAGATACCACCTCGGACGCGGAGTCCCCCGTAAGATGCCCACGAGCACTGCCAATCAGCTGACGCGAAGAAGCAACTAAAGCATAATAGAGCTTCTCAAATTCCTCGCGTTCCGCATATTGCTCGCTGGGGTTGTCCACCGCTTCCTCCAGGTCCATCTGTAAAGTATCGTATTTTTCGTAAAGGTTTTCGAATATATGAAGCCGATGTTCAATTTCAATTAGCTGAATATCACTCAACTTTTCACAAGACTTGACTACGTTTAGGTAGGAAGAGAATTGTGTAAGCTTAGCTTTAAGCGAAGCTCGCTTTTTGATAAGGCTTTTAATGTCGGCCATAATTGCTTAAGAAGCAGAAGAAGCGTGAAGGTAGATGAAGATAAAAAAGTGAGGGTCTGTTGAAAATTACGAGCAAAAGCAAGATCTAAATTTTGCTATTAAATTTTATCAAGGCGTTTACGCGTTGCAAGTGCCTGGTCAAAATCAATAGCAATATGTTGCGGAAATATTATTTGAGTTAGATGCAGAAGCGTAGTTTGCTGTAATAAAATTTTAAGGCCTTTAATTATTCATCAAAATTGTTTTGAATCCTAAAAAAAATTTACACATTGAAATAAATAATTTGAATTATACAATGTATGTATATGAAAATTGACTACAATGGGCACTAAAAGCTTGTTAACTTATGAAGCAATGAAATGAAATGTGATCGTGATAAAGAGATGTAACAGTCTAAAATGAGGGTGGAAGGAAAAATGATTTGAATGATTTGCAATAATAATATGCGATGAAAACTAATGAAATTTATCTATAGGAAATGAGGTTAATGATATTGATTATGAGAGGTATGATTGAGGAATAAATGGAACGATCTCACGGTTTTGTTGGCGCAAACCACTTATGTTGATTGTGACGAGGAGATTCTTCACGTTTCTCGATGCACGACGACAATCTCAAGGTATGTATTGCAACCGCTGAGCTGATGTGGTTCCACTTGATGGCTTGTCCGTTGGCTTGAAGGCGGCTAAGACGGCTAAAGTGAAGCCGTGCCGATGTTCACGACGAACCAATTGCAGACACGATGAATACCTCGAAGCAGGCACGATGAAAAATTCGATGCTGGCACGATGAAGACCGCAGAAAAAATTCACTGCTGGATGACTTGCATAACCGTCGCCGATTTTGAATTTTTCTTTGTTCTATCGTCGGTTCAAATTTTATCCGGCTCGAAGGACCAAATGTTGGATCGATGGTTAAGTGGAGAGCAAATAATATACTTGTGGACTGTATAATACGTAATATAATAATTAACTAGACTGTTACAATAACGGTTATAAGAAAATTGATATAATTAAACTGGATTAGAAGGCGCGAGCGCGGACGTGCTTCGTAGTGTCTAACAGCTGACTGGCGTGTCGGGGCCGTGCGGGGCAGGCGGTCGTCGCCGCGCACGCCGCCGTCCGTCATCCCCTCCAGTGCGCAGCGGAGGCCACTGAGTGCATGACTCAACAAAGGTAAGGCAAGTCATTTATGTAGATAAGAAACAAAAAAGGGCCGAGAATTGACCTGCGGAACCCCCATCCTGATAACAGACCCGGCGGAGATTTTTCCGTTTATTACGACTCTCTGAATGCTGTTACTCAAGTATGAGGTAAGAAGATCCAGAGATTTACCTCTTATTTCATAGTGGGATAGTTTCGTGATCAATGTATCATGAACGACACAATCGAATGCCTTGCGCCTTGGTGAATCAATGCACTTGAAGAATGGAGCTGTTTACGTCGTCAAGATTATTTGTACGTCGATTTAATTTAAAAAATAATATGTATCATATGCAAAAGGCACCATTCTTGGTCCATTTTTGAATATAAATGGCAAATAATTTATATAGACTAAAAAGAGAAAGGGACCCAATATTGAACCTTGAGGAACGCCCATATTCATCCCAGAGCCCTGGGAGTTAGTACCGTTAACATGAACCTTTAATTGTCTTTCTTCTTAATAAGATTTCATAAGACGGAGCGCAGATTTTTTATCCCGTAGTGATCTAATTTCAGCAAAAGTGACTCGTGGTCAACGCAATCAAATACTTTTGAGAGGTCACAAAAGATATCAATAGCGTCCTGTGCTTCCTCCCAAGCACCAAATATTTCCTTAATCAAAGTGACACCAGCGTCAGTTGTGCAACGATCTTTAGTGAAACCGTATTGTTGTTGGTGAAAGACAGAATGTTTATTAAAAATGATGAAGCATCCGAGACAGCATCAACTTTTCAAAGACTTTGCTGATAACCGGCAAAACAGACACTGGCCTATAGTTGTTAGGTTTTTTAGTGTCACCACTTTTAAATAGTGGGATAATTTTACTATATTTCATTAGGTCAGGGAAAACACCGTCATCTATACATTTATTAAAAATCACAGCCAGATATGGCGCTACAGTCTTGATTTCTTTAAAAACTTTTATAATTTCTAAAGGGTTCGTACCAATATCGAAAACTGAATGTTGTTCTTAAGCAAAGTTACAGAGAGGCTTACTGATGACCATGACATTGACAACATTTAATAGTTCAGTTGTTTTGATACGAATGTTGGTAAAAATAAAAATGCCCTTGTATATAATTGTTCTGTGCTACTTTTTCCTTGCCAGAATATTTAGGGAGCTTAAACTTAAAATGTATCTCTGTGCTGTTAGACACTCTAGACAGATTCGTCCTTAAAACTACTTTCTGTTATACAAGTTGTACAATATATGTAACAGTATTAATATTATATGCCATCAGCATAGCAATTTTTGTCAACATTTCTTTGAAAGGTGTTCACCTTTCTTTGTAGAAACAATTATTAGGTGTCAAAAAATAAAAGTTTGTCATTGTCATTGTGACATGTCAATTAATGAAACAATGATATGTAGATTTTTAACTTTTATTACAAAAAGAATAACATTGACATTAACTTTTCACACAAAATTACTTTCCAATCAAATGCTACCTACATCTTTGCAGAAGTTTACATTTACGTATGTACATACATACATAACTTCACATTCACTTCAATGATTTAAATATTAGGTAATGACTAAAGAATATGAAACACCACAAAACCAAACGTGTCGTGTTTGACTCCATTGCTTCTAAGCGCTGAGTACTAAATATAATAAAAAAGAGATCAGCAGCGTGTCCTCAATTTTGTTCATTGATCTAGGTCTGGAACCGGGACTGCGACCCACATTCGGTTCAAACCGTAGCGGATACATTTTCACCTGAAAAGAGAAATAATTGACTTATGAGTTCATTAATTAAAAGTAACTTTCTCACGTGAAATATGTATTTTAAAAAGCTCTTCTAGTTTTAAATAACAACGGGACTCTTATTCACAAGCAGGGCAGCAACAGCGACTGCACGACATAGCGGTTTGATACTCGTAAACATTTTTATTTTTTTTTCTCATTTTGCCAATGTTTCACCTGCTACTCACTGCTCGGAACCTATTGGTCATAGCGTGATGTTTCATAATGGGAAATTATAAGTCTAGCCACAAAATTATTTATTGGACTCGTGATTAAACTTTTATTTTATAACTAAGAAACAGGAAATTGAAAAACCCCCAAAAAAACAATTCGTCTTTTTTACAACGTCCACTAAATATTCTATAGAAAGCGTCAAGGAAAGATCATTGATTGTCCGACTGGGGTGCGTGTTGTGAAATTGGCTACCGGCCATGATGGGATAGGACCAGGCCCCCCATGGAAACTCTGCTACTGAAAACTCAATCAAGCTTCGACAGCTCCAGACGGTAGGAACTTGGAATGTGCGAGGCTTGAATCATCCCGGGGAACGTACCATTTTGGAACAGGAATTGGACAGAGTCGGTGTAAACATCTGTGGCCTAAGAAGGAAGGGCAGTGGACACTTAATAACAGACCATCATGTCATTTACTTCTCTGGCAATGACAACAGCAGTAACAATGGTCAATGGTGTGGGATTTCTGATGCCGATAAGTCAGAGAAATTGTATGACGGTCTACGAGCCGGTAATAGAATTATCAGCATTAAGATAAAATCGTCACCGATGAATCTTAACATCGTTCAGGTGTATGCCCCTACTTCTGTCGCAAGTGACGAGACAATCGAGATGTTCTACTCCGAAGGTGCCTAACAGAGAACTGTTAGTTATCTTAGAAGACTTTAATGCTAAGATCGGAGAGAATGCTAATCAGCTAAGCAGATGCGCGGGAAGATTTGGGCTTGGAAAGCGGAATGAACGAGGTGAGCGCTTGGTACAATTTGCGTCGGAGAATGACTCGCTGGTTGCGAATACGTTCTTTCAGCACCACCCTCGTAGGTTGTACACGTGGATATCGCCTGACGGGAAAACTCGCTACCAGATTGACTACATCATGATGCGTTCGCGATGGAGATCGTCTACCTATATAACAAATGCCCATACGTTACCAGAGGCGATTTGCGGGTCTGACCACCAACTATTGATCACGAAGTTAAAACTCAAACTGATAGCAGCCAGGGTCATTAAGAAAACGGGGAAACTATTAGTGAAAGATACTCAGAGGTTTCGCTCAATTGTGGAGCGAAATTGGTCCAAATAGTTGGAAGCGAATCAAATGAACGAGACATCCGACGCGCTGTGGAAGCGCCGGAAATGACTAATAGTTTTAGCAACCGCAGAAGCGGCACCTCCAGTTCGTTTTCACAAAAAACAACACTGGATGACTGATGACCTTCAAACTCATCGAGGAGCGTCGGAAGAACCCACCCACCGAACCCACGAGTGATATGTTAGAGCCAGGTATTCTGGAACCGGAAGTGAGAGCCGCTATTCTACATTTGAAGAATGGGAAAGCTACAGGAAAAGATCAAATTCCAATTGAAACTATCCGAGCAATGGGAGAATACGCTGTTCACATCTTTCATACCATCTGCAACAAGATATGGCTGACCGGGAAATGGCCTTCAGAGTGGGTTCGACTAAGAAATGTGGCAACTTTCGACTTATTGCCCTTATAACACACGCCAGTAAAATAATGCTACATATTATTAACGAGCGACTGAGGGCTATATTTATCCAGAGAAGTTGCACCAGAACAGGCTGGTTTTGTGAAGGGCAAGTGAGCCCGTGAGCAAATTCTCATCGTTCGCCAAATTATCGAAAAAGCACGAGAATTCAACAAGCCCACATATATATGCTTTGTTGATTTCTCAAAAGCGTTCGACTCCGTGAAATGGCCGACGCTATGGAGAACTCTACTGGATATGGGCACACCGCAACACCTTGTGCATCTACTCAGGGGACTCTACGAGGGGGAAACAGCATCAGTGCGTACAGATGACATCCTCTACGACAGCTTTCACCCAAGCGCGGGTGTGCGACAGGGATGCATAATTTCGCCGATGCTCTTTACACCGAGCTTGTGATGCGAATCATTCTGGAGAACTGGAACGATGGTGTTGTCATTGGTGGGTATAAAATTTTAAACTTGCGATACGCAGATGATCCCACCTTATTTGCAAGCAATGCGGATCTCATGCAGGAATTACTTTGCAAAATGGAACACGTAAGCAGGGCCTTTGGATTGAAAATTAACCGATCTGAAACAAAAATAATGACCGTGGACCGCGTCAAAGACAACTCGCCAGAAGTTACACATATTGCGAATTGGGACGTGGTTCAATCCTATATATATCTTAGACCCTTTATTTCCATCAGGGGTGTTTGCGTGGATGAAGTTAAGCGCCGCATGGCTATGGCCAGAACTGCGGTGGAGAAGCTGAAGAGAGTTTGGAGGAATCGCAACATCACTAAAACCACCAAGGTCAGACTTATGCGGGCGCTGGTATTTCCGATTTTCCACTACGCGGCAGAGACGTGGACAGTACGTGAATTAGAAAAGGGGAAAATAGATGCTCTAGAGATCTGGTGCTGGAGGAAGATGCTTGGTGTACCTGTAGACTGAGTTCCGCACCAACGTATCCATACTCTGAGAACTCGGCATCACAAAGCGTTTATCAACCATAGTACAGACACGCATACTTCAGTAATTTGGCCATGTCTCCCGTCGTCATAACAACTCCAAAGAGCGTCTGGTCGTTCGGGGAACCAGATCACGAGGCAGATCACCTATGCACCGGACTAGATCAAGGCAAATCGGCAACGGGAAACCCAGTGTCAGACTGCGCCAGACAATCCACAAACAGAGAGAGATGGCGGGACATCGTGAGGAAAGCTGTATCGGCCACCAACCCAAATACGGCCGCCTCAACGTGACCACGACCGCTTTGCCAAGAGTGAAACGACAGAGAAGAAGAGAATTGTTTATTTGTCGTTCGTGCGTTCGTATGGCAATTGTTTTCGCTATAATTAAATTAAAGTTTTCGTTGAGTAACAATTAGTTATGACGTCTAAAAGTGAAAATGAAGTTCCACTGTACTGGTCTGACGAATAATCGAAAAATAAGGTCAGCTGTCGAAAATAAACTTTTGGGCACACATTTGGTTAGGTTAGGTTAGAACTGTGAACCCCCACAAGGCGCGAAGCGGCCGCGGCCGCGGCCAAACATATTTTTCGATGTCATATAATAGTATTTCAGAAAACATGCTAAAAAAAAGATGCTAAAAAATAATCATTATGCCGACTTGTATTTAGAGTGGTTCATGGTTCATACATATACATATAAATAAAACCCGTTTCCCGTTGTCACGCGTCTTGAGAACGGCTTGACCGATTTGGCTTGGGCTCGCTGCCATTGCTGCGGTAAGTCCCCTCTTTGAGGAGTGGCTTGAGAGACGCTACGGTGTCCTCACCTACCGCCTGACGCAGGTCCTCACCGGACATGGAAGTTTCGGGAGGTACCTGTGTCTGATGGGGCGGGAGGAAACGCCCGGTTGTCATCACTGTGAGGAGCGCCCTGAGGACACCGTGGAACACACTGTAGCGGAATGCCCTGCGTGGGCTGAGCACCGCCGTGTCCTCAGGGAAGTGATCGGGGATAGCGACCTCTCGCGTCCGGGCCTAGTGCAGGCCATGATGCGGAGCGAGGGGGACTGGGATGCCGTCTCCTCCTTTTGCGAAGCAGTCATGCTAGCTAAGGAAGAGGCGGGACGCGTGAGGCAGCGAAGCGCTGCCTTCTCGCAACGCAGCCATCGCGAAGGACACACCGGGCGTCGGGGATCGCGGGACGATCTCTGGCCACCCTAAGCGCAGGCCTGCGGACGGTGAGCATGGGTGGCTCCCCGTCCGACCAGAAACAGACCCGAGCGTACGGCGCGTCGCGTTTCGCGCGCGCCTCAAGGAGCCATCAGACCCCCACAGATGGGGCCCAATAGGGCCGATGCCGATTCGGAGTCACGGCGAACCTAACGGGTAACCGGGGCTCCGGCTCGACGTGCAGGAGAAGGAACGGGGTGGTTTTTAGTCAGTAAGAGTCTGACACTCCCTTCCGTCTCACCCAGGCGGGAGCAGTCATTCGATGATTTTCCCCCCTTAAAAAAAAAAGACCGATTTGGCTGATTTTTTTGTTATTATTGTCAGGAGAAGGTTCTGGCCGGACCTGCCGGCCTGAGAGACCGGCCTGGCGTCGCACCTTACTGGCAAAAGCGACGAGCATCGGTATGACAAATCGCGATGGAGAACTTCAGTGGACGCCCTCTGCCCCATCTAGGGGACACAGGATATTAAGTCAAGTCAAGTAAGTCATACGAGTCGATCCCTAAGGTTAAGCTATGTTTATTGACATCTTTGGAAGGGTAGCTAATTGATAAAATAAAATAATAAGAATACCTAAGAAGGTACCTACTAAAAGCACTAGTAGAGGTGTAAACATTTAAACAATGAGTTCTGGAATGTTTACCTTATAATTAGATGAGATACGATCGTTATTTCCTTACCTTGGGAGCATTTTCTTAGCAACTTTCAAAGTCAAAGTCAAAATATTTATTTCAATTAAACCATAATTTGGTACTTTTGAAACGATAAATAATAGTTTATCAGTCAGTCCGTCAGTGAAGCTAGGTGATGCTATATGTATATGCTGTTATAGATAAATATTAAACCATGATAAGAATAAATTAATTTATTTATCCTTCAGGTTACCAGGTCGTAGCAGGGAGATATTCCACAAATAGCACCTAGACGAATGACGCCTAAACGAATCTCACCCATAAGTTTTCCTCAAGTATTCCACCTATTTCACACATAGGTGCGGAGTGGTTCGTCTAAAAGAAAAAATATATTTAATTTACTTTTCTACAATATCACATCTACCTGGCATAGTGCGAGGACGAAGAAATAAAAATATATAAATATTAAAAAGGGTTTCCGTTATTTTCGCATAATGTTCTTTATCCTAATACAGGGTGTCTCACGGCAGGGTTAGGATTTTAAATTTGAATATTTTAAAAACCGTTGCAAGTAAGCGCGGGGGGAGGAACGCAGTAGCTTCGTCATTCGTGCGGATTCGTTAGTCACGATGTCGCAGTGGTCGGGTGAGCACCGCGCGTTCGCTATCGAAGCGTTTTTGAAAGGTGGAGAATCGTACGTCGTGGCTCGAAGACAGTTTTGTTCTCACTACAATATCAGACGTTTACGCGATGGACCAAGCGAAAATTTGATTTGTAAATGGGTTATCAAGTTTCGAGCTACCGGTTCCGCTATAAATCAACCGCGTCCGGGCCCAAGCAGAACTTCAAGAACGGAAGAAACAATAAACGAAGTTGCAGCTAGCGTTCGACGTAATCCACGCTTGTCAATACGCAAAAGAGCGGCGGCTTTAAACGTCACCAAATCAACCGTAGAACGGATTTTAAAACGTGATTTGAAATTCCATCCCTATAAAATACAGATAGTGCAGGAAATAAATGAAAATGACTACAATTTACGTAAAAGTTTTTGCCAGACAATCATTGAGAGATTTCGCACTTTGAATGCTGTGTTTTGAAGTGATGAAGCACATTTCCATTTGAATGGATATGTTAACAAACAAAATTGTCGCTTTTGGTCAGAAGTCAATCCCAGACAAAAACATCAAAGACCGCTGCATAGCCCAAAAGTGAGTGTGGTGTGCTCTTTCGGTCAATGGAATAATCGGGCCGTATTTTTTTGAAAATGCGACAACTGCTGCGATAACTGTTTCTGGTGAGGATTATCGGCAAATGATATCCAATTATTGTATACCCCAAATTCGAGAGCATCCAGCCTACAGCTCAAGAACGTGGTTTCAGCAGGATGGAGCCACTTGACACACTACAAGAGCCACTATGGACCAACTTCGTGAATTGTTTCCTCAAAAATTGATATCCCGCTTTGGTGATATTGCGTTTCCTCCGCGATCACCAGATTTGACCCCCATGGAGTTTTTCCTATGGGGGTACCTTAAGAGTAAAGTTTACGTCAATACTCCGAGGAATATCGCTGAGCTAAAACAAAATATCCAACAAGAAATACGCGACATCGAGCCGGCTATGCTTAGGCGCGTTATGCAAAATGCGATGAATCGATTCCGTGAGTGCGTGCTACGAAATGGAACATGTAATCTTTCAAAAATAAAATGCGCATTATAGTTCAATAGTTTTCAATAAAAATCTTTTTACAAAAATATGCAAATTGACTTTTATTTCATTTCAAAATCCTAACTGCCGTGAGACACTCTGTATATTTCAGCATAATAATTTTGACACAATTTGTTTTGGCATAATAATACTTGGGCACATTTTTTAAGGCATACATTTACGTTGGTATATTCATGTTAAAGACTAATTTGTTTTGGCATAATAATACTTGGGCATATATTTTTAGGCATACATTTTACGTTGGTATATTCATGTTGAAGACTAATTTGTTTTGGCTAAAATTTGATTCGCATAACATTAGTAAGCCTAGTGACTATTAGCCTATAAGCATAACGGTAGTGGGCCAAACCAATTTGCTGTAGTATCTGTAACAATTAAGTTGTTGGTTAAAAATTTAATATGCTGTGCAAAAAATGTTACTAAGAGAACCGAATTACTGCAAAACTGACTCCACGTGGTCTTGTTTGTCGTACCTAGAGGGTAATTTAAAATCAAATTACATAAGAGCCCCGCGGTGCAGTGCGGTGCGGTGCAGTACTGCGGTGGTGAGCGAAAGCGACAGTTAGAACGCGTGGGGCCGCCGGAGGCCTCCAGCACCGGAGCCGTGACAGAACCCTACCTGCTGCATGTTGCATGCTCGCTTGAATGGTACATGTTTGCTTGCATGCTGTATGCTTGCTTGCATTATGATATATCCTCTTCGAGCAAAAAAGTTACGGCTAAGTTATTTCCAATGTTCAATACAATAAAATACTAAAAAAACACACTTTCATTAATTGATTTTATGACTATCTTAATTCTAGTATTTTTCCAGCAGTTTTTTAAGAAATAAGTACGCTGTTGTTGTTTAACGGTAAAAAAAAGTTTTTTTATGGCATCACGGATATGCAGACGGATCAACTGATGGTAAGCAATCGGCGTCACCCATGGACACCTGGAACACCAGAGGCGTTACAAGTGCGTTACCGGCCTTTTGGGGATTAGGAGTTTGAGGATGGTTGGGGATTCGGGGATTGGGGAGATTGGGGAAGGGGGGAGGGCTCCGGTAGCCTCACTCACACGACGAAACACAACGCAAACGATGTTTCACGTCGGTCTTCTGTGAGGCCGTGGTATCACTCCGGTCGAGCCGGCCTATTCGTGCCGAAGCATGGCTCTCCCGCACTTAAAAAAACGTGACGTCGTTACGTTTTAAGTGTGTCACAATCTCGTACAAAAATCATAGAAAACTGTCGTTTTTGGTAGTTCGAAAAAAGTATTGAATTTGGCTTGTTGTCAAATACCGTATTATAGAGGTTCCCATCAAATTACGACGATATCTTGCTTGTGTCGAGGCTCTGTCGGGTTGTTTTGAGTAAAACAGAGGACTGCATAATAAGTAGGTTCATTCCACAATCACGGTTTTATGAATGTAAAACACAAAAATATGCCCGGGAACTATGAACTATGGTGAACCTGGTGAACCCATGTTTGGCGTGTTTTGTACCCCTCCCGCGCGTCACCGCCTCTATTATCGATGGCCATAGTAATGTGCCGACAATTGCTAACACTTCTTTTAGGGGGAAATTAAGTACCTATATAAAGTTGGGGTTTGTGACGAATTTACATCAACTCTTACCATTTCATATTTACTTTTAATGCATGTTATGTGACTAACTTACTTTGAATGTATGAATTTTTATATTTACGATATTACCACAGTATAAAAAATAACATAACATAACATCACGCCTTTTATCCCGAAGGGGTAGGCAGAGGTGCACATTACGGCACTTAATGCCACTGTACAATGTAACACCCACTTTTCACTATTTATGTTATGAGTCCCATGTAATTCACAATTCCAGGCTCCGTGCTACTACTGAGAATTTTTAAAAACCCAATAATACTTTGCCCGACCCGGGAATCGAACCCGAAACCCTTGCCCGGCATTGTTGGTCGAGTGGTCGCAAGCGCAACTGCCGGGAAGGGCTCTCTTACCTTACCGGAACGGACAAAGTATTATTGGGTTTTCAAAAAATAATCTCAGTGGTAACACGGAGTCTGAAATTGTGCCCGGTATATGGCAATAGGCTCACCCTCCATTACAAGAGACTCATAATATAAAAGTGAAAGGTGTTGAAGGCGTGATGTTACGTTATGTGTATATAATGGATGTCTTACCACGTTGTTGATCCAAGTGGTATAGCTGGAAATCCGAGTATACACATCAGGGTATTTCTTATCTTTACAACTCTGAAACCATGACGCCAATCCCACCAGTTTGTCTTCGTAAAGGAGAGGGCTACCTACGTCAGACGTACACACACCTTTATCTGCAAACGCCAAGCAAATATGTTTTTGAGATAAACATATCACTGCCTTATACCCTACTGACTGCCTCGTTGGTCGAGTGGTCGCAAGTGCGACTGCAATGGGTATCGGGTTCGATTCCCGGGTCGGACAAAGTATTAAGTAAGTTCTAGGTTTTTTTTTTAAAAATCTCAGTGGTAGGTAGCACGGAGTCTGGAATTTTGCCGTACATTGTACAGTGTCATAATGTTCACCTCTGCCTACCCCTTCGGGGATAAATGATGTTATGTTATAAATCCGAAAGTTTGTGAGGATGTATGTGTGTGTGTGTGTGTGTGTGTGTATGTGTGTGATTGTTACTCTTTCACTCAAAAACTACTGATCGGATTTTGATGAAATGTTTGTGGAACAGGGGTAGGTTATGAAAAAAAGAAGAAAGAAAAAAAATCGTTTATTTGCACACCGTCACAAGGTACAATAACACAAAGAAATAAAATAAAAAACAATACAGTGAAGACGGCGCAAAAAGGCCAGAGCTCAGCTTAAATGCCGTGACACGAGTGTGCTCGAGTCGCGGCGCTGATTTTCAGCACTTGCCCGTGACTATTATAATATTATACATATAATAATAATAATAGACCCAGTTCTGGAAAATGACCATATCACGTTGTACTGGGACCGGTCTATCATTACTGACAGGACTATTATAGCCAACAAACCTGATATAGTGGTGATAGACCGACAACTGCGCCGCACGATGATAATCGATATCACTATTCCTCATGATGAGAACCTCGTGAAAGCTGAAAAAGATAAACAAATCAAATATCTTGATTTGGCTCACGAGGTTGTCGACATGTGGAATGTAGATTCGGCTATCATTGTGCCGATAGTCGTATCGGCCAATGGGTTAATCCCTAATAGCCTCGACAACCACCTTAGGAGGCTAGCGTTAGGTAGTTGGGTCAAGGGCCTGATACAGAAGGCAGTGCTCCTTGAAACGGCACGTATCGTGAGGAGGTTTCTGTCTCTGGAGCCCTAACCACCGGTAGCTTGGACCATGCTCCCGCTACTGGTCGGCTCCTATTTTTTATATTTTTAAATATTATTTTTATGTTTTTGTAAATAGTATTTAAAAATGTATTTTATAGAGAATTTAAAATAAATATATGGAAATAATAGAATAACAATAAAAAAAATATATATACAATGATATTATTCTAATATTTTTCAAAATTAAAATAACAAATGTGATGGAAAATAAATTATTATTATTTATACAATAAATAAATCTCGCGAACTAAACGCATGCTTGACACTGACATTTACATCACAGATGTCACATTCGTCTAATAACCTCAAGCGCATGCGTTATGGTCCGGATTAACACAAAGACCATTCCATTTTTATCCCACAGAATAAGTTAGACAATTCAAGGTGTTGTTTTAGAACCACGTCATTTTCTAGGAGGTAACTCGGCTATCGATTCTGAGACCGAATCAATAAAAAAAAATTGTAGGTAATTTTTCATTTTTCTGTAAATTACGGAAATCCGTAAGTACGAACTACACGCCGTCGTCTTGTAACTAGTTTTATAACGCGGCTTAACACACACAAACTCAAACACGTAATTGATATTATTCCTAATTCCACAAAATTCCATTAAGATACATTGCTGTCGCTTATTCTGAAATACTGTCGAACTTAAACGATTTATTATAGCCGTACTTTTAACTATTGGCCCGAAACTTTCTCTTACATTAAACCTTTATGCCTTCTGTGACATGCCCCCGAGAAATGACACGGTTTCAAAACTACACCTTGTATAACTACGGTAAAAAAAAGGTGGACACCAACAAGATACAATAAGTGCCTCTTCGCAAGAAGGGAAGTGGAAACTATCTATTTCTTCTCTTCTTATAATATCTTCTAATTCACTTCGTTGCGGGAACCAAGACAGTTATTCATGTCTTGACTTCAGTGTTCCGGTGTTTTCATGGTTGTATCTACTGTAGATCCTGGCTTACAGAAGCTGCAGCGGTTTTGGAAGGTAGTGGCGGGCTTGTCCCAATAAAAAATAATATGGTCATCCAAACTAAACGTGTGTACAAAATATAATATAAATACAGTTCAGTCTGTTGAAGACATATGCTTCGAAAATTCTGTTTTATTATTATTATTTTTTTGTAAAAAGACATTGCCTTGCATTGACTACCTCTAGTGTGGGACTAGTATTTTCTCCTGTGTCGTTGGTGCGTTTACAAACATACAAGGTCACATACACATGACACCCAGACCCGGAACAACAATTTGTGGATCACACAAAGAGTTGTTTCGTGGGAGAATCGAACCAGCGACACGTTGCGCAGCAGCCAGTTGCCCAGCCACCTCGCCAACCGTGCAATCAGTACTTATTAGCAATTAGCATCTAATTTTTTTTGGATTGGTTTAGAGCAGTTTTTTTGGAGAATACCTTCCATAATTCTGCATACTTCCATTCTTCGAAAATGCCCAAAAGTATACTTTAAACTCATTATTTTCATAACTTACAAGAAAAATTGTGATTTTACCTCCAGCCTTTAGCATCCCAGCGCAGATCATATTGCCGGTGATCGTGATGTTAGGATGCTTGTTTGAGTATATGGTCTTACATATCTCCCAGTCGACCAGCTTAATTGACACCTCGTGCAGTACATCCAAATCTGTCTTCACCTGTAGAGATCACAATTGGAAAATAGATATGAATAATAAAAAAAAAATTAAGGGGGGAAAATCATCGTATGGCTGCTCCCGCCTGGGTGAGGTGGGAGGGAGTTTCTTACTGACTAAAAACCACCCCGTTCCTTTTCCTGCACGTCAAGCGGGAGCCCCGGTTAGGTTCTCCGCGACTCCGAATCGGATATGATTTATAATTAGGAAGTGTACAAGTGTACATGAACACAAGCAATAAACGCAGCACTGACTGTATAAAATAAAATAAATGAATAATAATCTTGGTGCTCCATTTCCTATTACGGAATAAAATAAAGCTAATTCTGTGCTAATCCGTTGCGTTGTTTTAAAGATCTAAGCATACATAGGGACAGACAGACGGCGGATAGCGACTTTGTTTCATACTATGTAGTGATACTATTCTCAATAATAGCAGCTTGCAAGAATTTCGCAAACCGCTCGTGGTTTATAAATTATGCGAAAAAAGATGTGTCTTTTCCCGTGTGTTATTTCCGAGATGTCCGCAAGCAACTGCTAAGAAGCAAGCTCATTGGTCAATTGTACCGTACCGCAGAACCCCAACCAATAACTGTGACAGTAGCGTTGTCGGGCATCATCACTTCTTCCTGCGGTATATTGATAATTGCGATGGTGCGACCCAAGGGAATAGGATTCCTGGTCCGTACTAATGCTATGTCATTGTCATATCTGCTGTAGTTCTCGTGGATTATAATTGCTGTTACTTCATAACGTATTCCACCTGTTGATAAAAAATCCATTAATAATGTTTGACAGTGCCGTCAGTCGAGTCTGGTAACAAGAAATTATATCTTCATATGATTCGGAGACCCCCTCTCCCCTAGTATCCCTTCCAAGGTAAGGTAACTTATCGTTTTTGTGAAACGACTTTTCATGTTCTAAACTCTATACACTAAAAAGCTACCTGTGCTGAGGATAGTACAGCAAAATTTGCTATGTGTGTGAGTTTGAAGGTTACAGTTCTTTTTCTTTTCTATCGCGGTGGAAATTCTCATGGACTTCACACGTCTCACGTTCACACTCGTGGGGATACCGGGGGTGGTAAGGGGGGGCGTGTCGGACTATTCGGCTAAAACCACCGCAGAGTTCATCCACTGCCTGTGACCGTGAATCGGGTTGCCTTTACAGTATCACCACACCTGGCAGACCTTCAGCTTTGTTTGCGGCAGTTCCCACCTCGTTAGAGGCCCTGGAAGGCTGCTACCCTTCCTCGAGTAGGGCACGTGGACACACTACGCTAACATTTTGTTTAAAAGAGTGACGATGGAGTTTCTTGCTCGTTCTTCTCCGTTTGAAACAACACTTTGAAACGAGCGCCTAGCTTCACTGACTGACAGACGGACGGACAATAAAATTTTTGACGTTTCAAAAATAACTACTTAAGGATTAATTGAAAAAATGCTTTGACTTCGACTTTGAACGCCTGCCCCCGCCTATACAGCGGACGTCTTACGTCCCCAGAAAGTCGCCCGCAGAAAGGCCCCCCCCCCGTCCCTAAATCTCTGAATCCCCAACAATCCCCAAATTCTTAATCCTAAAAGGCCGGTAACGCACTTGTAACGCTTCTGGTGTTCCAGATGTCCATGGGCGACGCCGATGCTTACCAATTAGGTGAAGCTAGTTTACCGGTTTATCTCATAAAAAAATATAGTATAATAATAATCTCCCGAGTCGATTTCAATCATGGTGACCAGTCTAACTAGACTAGCCCATTGCGCAGGAGTTACTATAATGTACAAGTGTGTGCGAAAATGCAGGTGCACTCTCTGTTAGCTCACTCTCTGAACCTGATGAAACGGCAGACTAAGACGACCAGAGAGAGATCAGGCGCAGGCCCAGGTAATTTTACTCAGAAAATGCGATGATCACTTTTTAGCTAGTGCGGGAATCGAACCCACGACACTTTGCACAGTAGCCGGTCGCCCAATCACTGCGCCAACCATGCAATAAATTTTAATCATGTAATATCATTGAGAAACGACGTCGCACTTCCTAACTCTGGCCATGTTTATTTTAATGTTCATTTTAATCAAAAATAGCCATGATCACTTTTTGGCCGGCGCGGGAATCGAACCCGCGACACGTTCCACAGCAATCGGTCACCCGACCACTGCGCCAACCGTGCAATTATTTTTAGTTATTTTTCAGTAACAATGTTATTAGGAGTACCCACCTGTATCTTGTACGCCGGTTGAACCGACACGAATCCTGTATTCAGCGGGATCTATGTATAATTGGCTCCTTTAAAATGTAACATACATTTTTATAATTAATTTCTACTAGCTATTATTATCCCGCGTTCCCGGGATAACTATTACTATTACAAATTTCCTAATAAGCTTAAAGAGGCAATAGTCCGTCCAATTCATAAAAAGGTGATCGTAAAAATGTTGCAGTCCATTTTATTTAGTCTAGATAAAATCATTGAAAAGTATGTAGTCAATCAATTAAGTAACTACATACAAAAAAATAATGTAATAAACGAGTGTCAACACGGTTTTTTAAAAGGAAAAAGTGCATATATATTGCTTACAAAATTCACAGATGAAATAAATAGTTATTTAGATGATACAAAAATTGTTATTACAATATTTTTAATTATAAATTACTAGCTTTTACCCGCGGCTTCGCTCGCGTCACAAAAGGATAAAAGCCAATGTGACATATATCAATACACACAGCGCCATCTATACCAATACTTTTGTTTTCCCTCGGGAATATCAAATTTTTTCAAGATAAAAAGTACCCTATTATTTAATCCGGACTTCTAACTTTACGTCTGCAAAAATTCAAAGTAATCGATTGAGTAGTTACGGCGTGAAGGTGGAACAAACAAACAAACTCACTTTCAGATTTATAATATTATTAGTAAGGAAGTAAGGACTAGTAAGGATAGTAAGGATAAGGATAGTAAGGATGAGGCCGCTAACCTTTTGACAAGGCGCTGCCGAGCTTTCGGCTTGACCGTCGAAGGAGTGGACCACCAAAATGGTGTAGCGTTCCTAGTGGGTCGCTGAGGGGTTTTTCTGGTCCTTTTGGTTATATCGGTATTTTCGGTTGCTTCGGTTTTCTCGGTGCTTTTGGTTCTAGGAATTGGTGTCGTTGTAAAATCACTATAACAATCAGACCTGTAACGGAACATACATAATTACAATTGTATATAGATAACAAGATAGTATTCAATCATCTGGAGTCATCAGAGTTGTTGTTCATTATTCAGTCGTCAGATTTTAAAAAAAAATACTGTCTAGAGGAGGTAAGTCGACTATCGATTCTGAGTCCGAATCAATAAAAAAATTGTAGATAAATATTTTTCATTTTTCTGTAAATTACGGAAATCCGTAAGTGCGAACTACACGCCGTCGTCTTGTAACTAGTTTTATAACGCGGCTTAACACACACAAACTCAAACACGTAATTGGTATCATTCCTAATTCCATAAAACTCTAATAAGAACCATTGCTGTCGCTTATTCTGAAATACTGTCGAACTTAAACGATTTATTATAGCCGTATTTTTAACTACTGGCCCGAAACTTTTACTTACATTGAACCTTTATGTCTTCTGTGACATGCCCCCGAGAAATGTCACGGTTTCAAAACTACACCTTGTATGTCACTGTACAAGCTTCTCTCCCTTGCCTTGCTTGAACAGTTTCTAAACTAAACCCGTAACCCGATTTTTTGCAACATTTACTGACATAAATAAATCCCATTTACTAAATGTTGATAAAATCTGGAATCGCAAACTTTTACGGACAATTACCAACTGATATCAGTAAATATTAGGATATAAGTCCCGGTACCAATAAATGGAATTTACCATATTTCGGGCTTGTAAAACATCTAGAGAGCTACTACTTTATGAAAGTCCGGTAGAAGGTAATTTTATCTGAACTCCGAACGAAAGATTACTCATTAAACAAGTGGTACGACATTACTATCCAAGCGGTCGGATCCACTTTTTTTTAAATTTAGGAGTAGGACAGAAGATAGGACAAAACAATCGCATACACAAAGCCATGGCAAAACGACATGCGATGTTACTGCGATGAAACAAGTGAAATTATTTGCAGAAATAAATTCGCTTGTTTACTGCAGTCTTGCATCGTAAATTGAAGCACACATCACCAGCTCAATATACGGAAATCCCTACGACATACCTAATATCCGTAACGTGAGGTTAACAGTGTGTTAAAGAGTCGATAGAGCAAAACCAACCAAACAAAATATTTTTCACCTAAACCTACCTACCTAAATACTTATTTAAAAGTAGACTGGCCTAAATATTGTTAGGGTATCGTTTTAAAACTATTCTAGTATTAAAATAAATTTCTACTTACGAAATCACGAAGCAATTTGCTGCAGACAATACGTATCGCTTGGTCACGAGCGACCCTCCACATCTTAAGAGGTATTTACCTCCAATTCGATAAGTTATAATCTGAAATCACATTCAATCGACTACACAATGAAAAATTAGGAATAAATATTATATGTCCTTATATTGCAGGTCACTGCATGGTGCCATCTGAAAATCAGCGTTGGGCATGTACGCTCAACTTAATGCTGAGATGGAGGCCCTTTTGGCAAGGGCATGCGCCGTAAATGTTATTTATTTATGTATATCTTGTTTTTATTAATTTTTAATTATTGTGTTAGTATACTATTGTCACTGTTTTGTTATATGTTGTCGTTTCTTTGTGTTTTTTTTTCTATATCTGTATAAGTACTTAAGTGTATTTATTTGTTCTTTTCTTTTTTAATTTTGTATTTTTTTGTATCTGTGTGCGTGCCTACTGTTGAATAAATGATTTTTCTTTCTTTCCTATATTAAACGCATCATATTCATTCAATTATAAATTTCGAGTGATTTCGATCATGACCAGTCTGTCTAACTAGACTAGTATCATAGTGCACAAGTGTGTGCGCAATCACAGGTGCACTCTCTGTGCTCACACTTTATAAGCCCGATAGTGGGGATTTTGTTTCATCTGTGTCGAGAGGCAGCGTGATACCTGAGTTAATTTATACAAAAGATTTATAAAATGTATGCTAAAATCTTCCTAATGAATTAGTCTACCGATTAGTGAAAACTATTTTATAACCGTTTATAACGTCGTGGTGGCCCGGAGGTTTAAGACCCCCACTTCTCATGCATGAGGGTGCGGGTTCGAAACCTACCAACGGCAAGTACCAATGTGACTTTTTCCGGGTTATATGTACTTTCTAAGATTATTTAGACACCACTGACAAACGGTGAAGGACAAAACATCGTGATGAAACCTGGACTTTTATAATTTCTAATTATAAGTTTGAAATCGCCAACCCGCATTGAGCAAGCGTGGTGATTAATGCTCTAACCTTCTCCGTGTGAGAAGAGGCTTTGCTCAGCAGTGGGCATTTTATAGGCTGCTGATGAATGAAAAAAAAAAAATTTATAACCGACTTCAAAAAAAGGAGGGGCCCAATTACCTCACCTCTCCAGTCTCCCCAATCCCCGAATCTCCCACAATCCTCTAATTCATAGGGATTAGTCCCCAAAAGGCCGGTAACGTAAGTAACGCCTCTGGTGTTTCAAGTGTCCATGAGCGGCGCAGATTGTATACCATCAGGTGATCCGTCCGCTCGTTTACCGGCTTATCCAAAAACGATACTAACCTGTACTACAAACGGGTATTTTTCTATCGTAGTAGGTTCGCCTACACGGTGCTTCGCTGATGGCTGCCGCAATGCTAGCAAATTATCGTTCTCACCATGACCTACTAAATAATGAATAATGTTAATAAATTGACATTAATACTTTTATATATTCTCATTCTCGTAGGTTTAGGGATGCTATACCACTAATATTAGGATTTCCCTAATAAACCTGAGTGACTGGATCCTGGTCAAACACAGTTAACAAATGAACAGGAAAATAAAAGCAACAAGTAACTTCACGCAGGTACCGTGGCTAAAGTTGCTCGCTAACCGGGAGCATTCGCGTGTAATGTAACGTTACAGATCTTAGCATTACATTACAAATCTGAGTAAAGGAGAAGAACCGAGCATTACAATGCGCGCCTTGTAATGATACAATTTGTAATATCTTGATACGACTTGTAACATCAATGCGCTCCACTTCTCCCCGCCGTGACGTGATCGGCGATGACCACCTCTCGCGGCCGGCCCTAGTGCGGGTCATGATGCGGAGCGAGGGTGACTGGGATGCCGTCTTCTCCTTTTGCGAAGCAGTAATGCTAGCTAAAGAGGAGGCGGGGCGCGTGAGGCAGCGAAGCTGCCTCCTCACAACCCAGCCGTCGCGAAGGACACTCCGGGCGTCGGGGATCGCGGGACGATCTCCGGCCACCGTAAGCGCGGGCCTGCTGACTGCGAGCATGGGTGGCTCGCCGCCCGACCAGAATCAGACCAAAGCGTACAACACGTCGAGTTCCACGCGCGCCTCAAAGAGCCATCAGGCCACCACGGATGGGGCCCAATCAATAGGGCTAATGCCGATACGGAGCCGCGGAGGACTTAACGGGTTGCCAGGGCTCCGGCTCGAAGTGCAAGAGTAGGAACGGGGTGGTTTTTAGTCAGTAAGAGTCTGACACTCCCTCCCACTTCACCCAGGCGGGAGAAGTAATTCGATGATATTTCCTCTTAAAAAAAAATATATTCAACTATTCAGCTTTACATATTACTAGGTACCATACTTTTACATTGTTGTACATTGCTGAGGCAGTCGTTAATACTTCTATTTAGCCATCTGCGCCAGCGGTTTTATTTAGCTTAACCCGTTTATTTGTTTACGGTACGTAACACTCTTAATCTCGATGACCACACAATATTATAATCTATTTTTTTTTCACAACTACGTCCGTTATGGATATCAAACGAAAGAGCTTGATTGGTAGAATAGAGCTCATGGAAACAATATTTTTATGTAGGTATGAAGGCAAAGCCTACCTAAGGCCAGACAAGTAATTTTCTTCTGGCCTTAGGTAGACCATTGCCCTGCAGTAGAACGACCATGGCTAAAAATAAAATAAATAAATGCCTGTCTAATGTTTATACGAAGTAGGTATAACCATACCGACCAATTAGTGTGCATGATAATGTTATAAAAGGAAATATCGGAATAAATTATGAAATATTATACACATACATAAGATGGGCAAATACGAACCGAAAGTAAATAAAGAAAATGTAAACGAAACTTACAGCCAATGACCGCTACCAATAATAAAATTCGACACCACATTTTCTGGAAAATATTCTTTAACCAAGTTTGTCATTCCGTAATTAATATTTGCCTACAATCTATGTGGCTGCGGCTATTAGTTCGATCATTTAAGGCCGAAAAACAATGGGGGTTGCCTGTAACGTTTTCTAATAAATTTCAAAATTGGAAATATTGTAGATTTTGATGTGCGTTGATGACTTCCATGCCATTATCAGACAGAAGTCTGCATCGCTGCTCTGCAGGGTGCGGGCCATTTCCAACTCCATCTTGAAAACCATTGCAGGGAGGTACGATTCACCTATAATACATGGTATCGTGCGAAGATGTATTCCCAACAGTAGGCTTGTAACAATATAGGTACTAACATAGTTTTAAGATTTTAAATTTTTTCTTACTATGGATGTTTCACTTGTCCGAAATAAACATTATTTTATTTTATTTTTATTTATTTATTTATTTATAATTTCCTACAACTTTGACTGCCTCGTTGGCCGAGTGGTAGCGATTGCCGGGCAAGGGGTCTCGGGTTCGATTCCCGGGTCGGGCAAAGTATTACTGGGTTTTTAAAATAATTCTCAGTAGTAGCACGGAGTCTGGAATTGTGCCCGGTATATGGCAATAGGCTCACCCCCTATTACATGGGACTCATAACATAAATGGTGAAAAGTGGGTGTTACATTGTACAGTGGCATAATGTGCACCTCTGCCTACCCCTTCGGGGATAAAAGGCGTGATGTTATGTTATGTTAATTTCCTACAATTCATGTAAACAGGTTTTTTGTAATAAAAGTAGTTTTGGCGCCAGAGCACAGCAAAGTTCATTTTTGTGAGCCATTTTGGGAAAAAAACGTAATTTCCACACTACGTGAAAGTAGAGCACCCGATGCATTTTTTGTATATTGTAGTCTTTTATGGGCCTAATGCTCATGTGATTGTGATACACGCCATACGATCATGTCATAATCCCATGCCCTGAGCGGTTTCTGATGATCCACATAGGAGATGTCCTCTTGGGCATCCATCGATATGTCATAGTCGTTATTTATAAACGAAAATGCTTGCAATGAATCTGCAAAAGTGCATGGCAAATAATGCGGGCGAGATATAGATCAGCGACGACCTTATCACAGAAATCCTCCATCACGATTGGTCTTGAGCTTTACATGTTACCTCACTCCACGTCGTCATACCGATACCCAATGCTTCTACTATCAAGACTCCAAGTTTGAGGACGACCGCGCTTTCTTACAATCAAAGGTTTTCTTGAGAATTAGGTCGGGATCATTTCGGAGCATATGAGAAATCTTCTCCCACTTGTGGTATTTGATCTGGCGGTCGATCGGACTGTCACAACACTTTTCCAATAGCTCTACAAAATAGTCTGGAGCCAGTAAACGAGTTGCATTTCACTCGAGATGGCTCTGTGACCTTCGTTACTACCCATAGAGCAGAACGGATTTGACATTGAATCCGAAGAATTTGAACTTTACTCATCCACCAAAGTGGTCTCACCAAAGAATCTCCAAAGAAGTTATTTTATGATTTTCCCTATTATAAAACACGGTCAAGTTCAACGCTAGTAAAACGTAGGATCGACTTGAGCCTTGTCCAACATTAAAAAACAATACACACTTTTAAAATTACAGTGACTTACGTGTCCACGAAAAAGGACACCCTGTGCCAACAATTTGATTCTGCATATTTGCTTACGTTATCCTGAATAGTGCTGCTACGTGGAACAATAAATTGTAAACCAACTGCTTCAGTTGAGAAAAGGCTGACATTTTTTGACGAACAAAGTATTCTCAATTATGGCTTACTTTAAACAACTGTACTGAAACAATATATTTGAACTGCGCTAGTAGTGGTAAGTTCCACCAAAGTTGGCACATTTAATGATGATTTTACACTTTCTTTATGAGTTAAGTCGGTAAACGAGCAGACGGATGACCTGATGGTAAGCAATTGACGCCGCCCGTGGTTACCCGAAACACCAGAGGTTACCGGCCTTTTGAGGATTATGAACTTAAGGAGTGTTGGGGATTCAGGCATTGGGGAGATTGGGAGGTAACTGGGCTTAAACTTTCTAGATTATTTATTAAATTATGCACAACAAAAGCAGTTTCTCCACGAAACCTTGTTTGGAACAATTTATTTGGTACTACTCACTTCCTAAATTTTATTCTAGTATACCAAAAGCGCACCTTTTGGGAGTTTAGTTTGATGATTGGGGTAGGCAGGTAGGCTAGAAGTTGTTTAATCTCTTTCTGTACATTTTATATTAGTGTCATTGAAGGCATGAATACCTATATTGACGCAAGTAAAGGGTAATAAATACAAAAATGAAAGTTGTATGGTGTAGATATCACATATGAATATTTTATTTACGAGTAGTGATATAGATATATTACATTTTACAATAAATATAAGGTACAAGGTGATCCGCTACACACGTCATAACTGGGACGGCTGCACCGACACCAGCACCACCTGCCGACACACCGCTGGAACAATACACAATAAATATACTCCTTTGCCATGCCACGCCGTATCGTGCCGGCAGTGAGCGCCAGCCCTAACGCATTCGTAAGTGTGTACAATACCTTTGTCGGTGAGAGTCTCGTATGTGACGAGCGACGCAGCGAGCGCGGGCAGCGGCGCGGCGCAGGACGCGGGCTCGGGCGCCGTCGACACCGCCTGGCCAGGCGCCGCCAGAACTGCCTGGCCGGGAGCCGCCAGGACGGCCTGGCTGGGCGCCGCCAGCACCGCCTCGCCGGCCGCGCCGAGGACCTGCCAGCGCGCCAACTCCGCGCGAGCCGACACCTGCGTGCCCGCCTGCACACACTATACATATTTGACTACACGGTTGGCGTGGTAACTGGATAACTAGCTGCCGCGTAACATGTAGCAGTTTCGATTCCCGCACGGACCACTTTGGTTGATACACAAATTGTTATTTCGGGCCTGGGTATCATGATAAACTTGTATGTTTATAAACGCATCAGTTCAAAACGATGACGATAATTTTATGAAGCGTGTTTTTGCAAATTAACTACAACTTACCTCGATGTTCGTAGAGACATCGGCGGCGTATTTAGCTTCGTAGAAAGGCGTGAACCCTGAGTCAGCAGTGAGCCGTAACGCTCGGTCGATGACAGCGCAGGTTATCGAGCGCCAAGGGTCCACTATCAGGTACGCCTGTTCGGACGCCGAGGAGCCCTGGGACCCGTCTGACGCACACCGACGTTCTTCCGGAGAGCATAGGCCCGGAGAACTCTGGATAATGTACGTGTGTAAGAAATAAAAAAGTGCGCTATGATCAGACTATTTTAGGCATACAAATAATCGTTTAAGAGTTTAAATCAACAAGTCTATTAATTAGTTAGGTAAGTAAATATGAATTTGTCGTGTTTTAATAAATTACATGTCAATGTACTGAATTAAAGAAATAGAACAACAAATAAATATATAAGATTATTTTGTAGAAAGTCTTTTTTCATTTGAACGACCTAGACCACGGGCTAGTCCTTTATTATATTAAATAGATCATTTCGGAAATTTAACATAGACCTAATAGTTGTTTGTTTCTCTTTGATTATAGATTCACTTGCCAAAATGTTATCAGTAATTCATGTTTAATTTTAGTGTAAAATTATGTGATATATGTCCTCATTTATTTTCATGATCAAATAGACAAACTATAGATATTTTTCCAACATTATTTAATTCGACAAGGGGCTATTATACTTTTTAAAATTCATAGTTTTAATTGGACAAGGAGCAAGTTTTTTATTATTTATTTTTCATCAGAATAAGGATCACGGACATGGTACAGAATTGTTGAATTGTGTCGTGAATGCGTATTAACATAACACCTATAAGAATGTTGTTGGAAAGTCTATCTCCTCAACGCGGAGTGTATAAAGTAAGAAGTCGATGGATTTTCCTGCACCAACCTCATGCGAAGTCCTGCCAGGGTCGATGATGGTAGCGACAGCGTCCGCCAGAGCGTCGTGCACGAGGTAGGTATGTGCACGAGTGTCCGTGATGACGTACGTCTCACCCGCCGTCGCTTCCTCGTAGGACGAGTTATTGTCCGCGCAGGATACTTCGTCCAGCGCGCCTTCGGGGTAAGGATGGCTTTGAAGCAGATCTAGCTTCTCTTTGCCTGTTTTATACGTTTATAATTAGAAGTCTAGACATTCAAAACTTTTTCTAAACTAACCATAAACGGTAACAGGCATAAAATTGCGTAACCTAATCCATGTCATAGTTTGGTAACGTTAAAAATGTGCAATGTTTACAATTTTTTTCTGTGTGTGCAATAAAGTATAAATAAATAAAAATATCCTTCTTACTATGGGCACAACAAACTTTAACTACACAGAAAAGTTTCTTCTCCGCCGTAGTCCCAGTCATTTGATAACAAATAACATAAACATTTATTAGACATACATTGTGTTATAGATTTGATGTGCTCTTTTCGTCAAAACTATTGATTTACAAAAAGGTTGTTTAGACATAAAATATTCTAAATTGTGGCTTTAATCGACACCATCTAAGAAGTCAACTCTGATGTTTGTCAGTCTATGTACCGCTATAGAACGTCGTGGAATGTCGAATTCATAACATTAAATCATTACTTCGTCACTCATACACTTTCATAAAGAATATCTATACTAATACTATAAAGAGGAAAGATTTGTACCTATTTTTGTATGTTTGTAATGAATAGGCTCAAAAAGTACTGGGCCGATTTAAAAAATTCTTTCACCAATAGAATGCTACATTCTTCTAATTTGACAAAGGCTACATTTTATTTTGAAATAAAATTTGAACAGTGTAACCGAAGGTGTAGAAAAATTAGTCTTAAAATCTCTTTCGTCAAATGTGCTACCGAAACTATTAGCGATAGAAGAAAATAATGTACAACAATATTGAAGGACATCATAATGTCTACAAGAAACTTCGCGGTAGCATATGTCCAACTATTGTAGTTATGTCACTACAACAATCCAAATTTCCAAAAATAAATAATTGTCTACCCCGTGCGAAGCCGGGACGGGCTGCTAGTCATTTATATGCATCAAAGGAGAATGTCTAAAAAAAACCTAGAGTCGATTAAAATCATTCATGGATTATGTTCATATCTATATGGACTAACATTACATTGATTGCATTCATTATTTCATTCCAGACAGTTCTCCGCTACTCAATTAATAAAAATTTTTTAAGAAATAAGTATGCTGTTTGACGCTAACAAAACGTGACGTCACAATACACAATACACAATCTCGTACAAAATTCATAAAAATCTGTCGTTTATGATAGTTCGAAAAAAGTATTGAATTTGCCTAGCTAGCAAGTACCCAATTATTGATGTGTCAGTACAGATTTTATAAATGACATACATACATACATAACTTCACGCCTGTCTCCCATGGGGGTAGGCAGAGACTAAGGAACGCCAATTACCACGATTCTTACATATATCTCTTTCGCTTCATTAACAGTCATCAATCTTTTCATGCATGCTCGTCGGTTAAGGGTACTTTTAATTTTAATTTATAAATGAATATCGATAAATTTAATGACTGCGTCAGGCATTATAGACTTTGGGCCTCCGCTAACTTTACTTACATCATTAACACAAGCGTTGTCACGCCGATGTTCTGTGACGCCATTGTATCATTCCGGTCCAACTGGACCATTCGTTCCGAAGCACAGTTTTAACAATAATAACTTAGTTCCACGCGAAATCGACGCGTGTTTGTGTAATAATTATATTTAAAAAGCAGATAGTTTTGATTCCCTCACCGTGATCATTCGGCAACAGCCGGCAGAGCTCGTAGCCGCGACAGGGTGCTGCGCGAGACACTCGGAACCGCGTCGACCGAGACTCCCACTCCGGTCCCAGTTCTAGATGATAACAGAGATATATATGGCATAAACAACTTAACTCATGCGAAATCAGAATAAATTGTAACTAAATCAATTTCAATGGTTTTTACATATTGCTTTTCTTATTTGATAGGTCGACGTTTGACCACTGTCTCGCCTGATGGTAAGCGATGATGCGGTCTACGATGGAGCACGTCGTCCTATAAGCAACCTATTCACTCGGGCCTTGTAGACACCCAGGTCACCCTTCAGGACATACAGACTCTAGCAAAGAATTCCACTCCTTAGGAACAAGGAACCTCAGCTGTTACATTGTGAGGTCTTATATTAAATATAGACATGGGTGCGGGAGGTGCAGAGCCTTCCACTTCATGGCAATCAGTGTCTTAGTGAATGTGTGTTGGAAATATGTAATTATTATCCAGAAGTGTATCGATATCTAAGGAGTAAACGTAACATCATGTGTTATACCGTGTTAGGCTGATTTCGTAGAGCCGTCGAAATAGATATAAATAGATAATAGTGTTAATTATTATATAATGTATTTTTCTAGTAATAATTATGAACGTCTTTTTATAATAACTATCGTGAGACATACTAAATTAACTAAAAATCAGGATTTCACGCTGCTCATGAGGAAGAACCCCTCTGTGGTTCGAAATAAGTAGAGCTTTTCTCAGTATATTCATGTGAGTAACCCGCGATTTTTAGTTAATTATAGACACGGCTAATTGTAGTGTGTAACGTAGGTACTTCATAAATATTGATTAGTTATTGTAAAAAAAGAGTATGACAAGGGCACTGACCGAGATAAGTGGAGAATTAATATTGAATATTAAAAAAAACACGTTCTAACGATAACAAACAGCTGTCCCAAAGATAGTTATGTTCTAAATTAATTTATTTCACTCTTATTATAAGTACTAATGTCGTGGTGACCTCGGTCGGTTTAAGAAACTTTAAACCTACCAACGGTAAGTAATGTGACTTTTTCCGAGTTATATGTACTTTCTAATATTATCTAGACACCACTGACATTCGGTGAGAAAAACCTGGGCGTATAATTTCTAATTATAACTTTGAAATCGCCAACCCGCATTGAGCAAGCTTAGTGATTACTTCTCCGTGCGAGAAGAGGCGTTTGGTCAGCAGTGGCCACTTATAAGCTGGTGATGATACCAGAGTACTCCAGGGGAAAAGTCACAGTTCCTTATTCTCCGGCTTGCCTTAATTGGCTGGCTGGAGTGACAGATGACAGACGACAGACGATGACGAGGAACAAGTCTCCCACCTTGTGTGGCTTGCCTTTATTGTTTTACTGGCTTACTTTTAGTTTCTTGCCCTGCTCGGAGGGTAAGAAACGATTTGTATTTATTTATTATGTACTATTTATTATATATTATTTATTATATATTATTTATTATAATTATATATTATAAGAAACATAAATAATAAAATTTCAACATTTTATTTTATTTACATTTGAATTCGGAAATAACAGTTACACTAGCGCGACTTTGGTTGGCACGTGGGTATCATAAATAAATTTCTAAACAACACACAAATGTTTATTTAGTACATTTTAAATGGTTATCATAATGATGCATTAACATAGTCCATCGGTGTACAGAAGCATTCTTAGTATAGAGAATAAGAACAATTTGGTGGTATAAAGTGAATAATAAGGTAGATAACTATTTTTAATTTTATTGTCCGTCTGGTAGATTATGATTAAAAACATTAGGACCATATTTGTCCTGATCGCGATGTCATCTGTAAGAGAGTAAGAGAGTTTTGTACAACCCTCGTTTTTTCTGTTACCTCCAGCTGACAGATTTAGATTATTTCATCTTCAGAGACCTGGCACCTAAGTATCAATCTTGAAGAAATGTCGATAACCCCTCGCTGATCCCACGGAAGACACGCTTGAGTAACAGCTAGTATTGGTACTCTACTATAATACTTTTTAGTAAAATTGTTTACCTTGCTATTTTCAATAGTCATCGAACACAGTAATAGAGAGTAGTAGAGCTTTTCTAACCACTTATATGACATGTATCATAGTACATGTTTGTTACAGCTGAGCAGGAGTACGCTTTTTTCAACATTTGAATATCCTGAAGAGGTCAGAATACCTCTTTTTGTTAGATTGAACCTTTATACAGTTACTTAAGACCCGTATTCGCTTGCTTTGTAGACGTGTTAGTACCTTGTATAACAAAATTGTGTGTCCTTTATACAGTTTCGTACATTTCTGTTTGATATGGGTTTTTCTTTGTGGTATGACAAACATTCTTTCCTCTTTTCATTTTTATTTCCTATACGTCGGCGGAATTCTGTCAATCATATATTTTCTGCAGTCATAGCTTGTCCTTTTACGGCGTTTAGTAGTACCATTAGGCATTTGTCCCTTAACTTTATCTAAAATATGTCGTGAATATGGAAATATACATTTCAATACCTTAACGATTAATACAATATCGGTTTTCAGTGTTTTGATTTCTTCTAAAATGGTATTCATTTCCGAGTTTGGTACTTGCGGTAGTCTGGATAAGTCCCTTGCAACATACGTAGGAATATTGACTGGGTTAGCTTCTTTGAATACTTTGAAAATATATTCTAAGTTTGTTTTGCTTTGTCCTTCGTTGCTAAGATCAAATTGAACTTGACTTGTGACATATCTGCTGAGCTCCTTTCTAGCGTTACATATCTCCTCTTCGGAATAATAAGACATGCATACGTTTTCTAATGATGTCTCGTTCATATTCGTAATGTTATTTTGAATAAAGGTTAACATTTCGTGAACTATGACAGTAGAATCATTATTCTCCTGTATTCGTTCTTTGACCAGTTCTTGCGAATTATCTGTAATTTAATTTACTTTGTTGATCAATAATCACGTCGTTTATGCTTTAGTCTGCATCAATTTAAATGTATCTTGCATTTCTGATGAGACATATTGATTTATATTTAAATTAAAATGAATAATTTAAGCTTAAATGGAGACAAATGAATAAAACGTTGTGTTAACTGAATGCTAGTTGGCGATTATAAAAAAAATATTGATCAATTATAATAGGGTAGTATCCTAAATTTGATTTTAATGTCCGTCTGGTAGATTATTTTAAAACATTCATCATCATCAACAGCCTATAAATGCCCACTGCTGAGCAAAGCCCCTTCTCACACGGAGAAGGTTAGAGCATTAATCACCACGCTTGCTCAATGCGGGTTGGCGATTTAAAACTTAGAATTACAAATTATAAAGGTTCCCTCAAGATGTTTTCCTTCACCGTTTATCAGTGATGTCTAGAGAATCTTAGAAAGTGTATATATAACTCAGAAAATGTCACATTGGTACTTGCCGTTGGTAGGTTTCGAACTCGAGCCCTCAAGTATAAGAAGCGGGCGTTTTAAAACTATTTCACATTCATCTTCTCATTTATACAGAATAAAATTTCAGTGTCTCTTTGTAATATTAAATTATGTGTACATTATCATGTTCTTTTAGAACCATTTTCCAACGGTGCAAATAAACTTCTCTTTATTTCCTTTTATACATAGGGAAGGACAGCTACTTCGTTTATAGTATAAAGTGAAGATAGAAATTAACCCTAAATTGATAATGAAATCGCTTTTGCGAAATATTTATTTATATCAAAAAACAGCTAATTTAATCTTCACAGGTACTTAGCCTAATACGACAAATATCAGAAATTATAGTTGATAAGTAGCATATTGACGGTTGTAAATAGGTTTTTGAGCCATGATCGTCTCCCTGCCGGGCAAAGGCCTCCCTAATCTCCTTCCACTCCTCTCTATGTAAAGATTTTTGCGGCCAATCCTTGTCATGGAACTGGATCTATGTAAATAGATATCCATACTAATATTATAACTGCGAAAGTAAGTCTGTGCGTTTGTGTGTATGTTCCTTACTACGGCTGAGCTGAAGGGATCGGGATGAATTTAGGATCAGGAGTAGATTTTTTTTAAACGTTGCCCCACACTAGTATTGTCTCTTGTGTCGTGGGTGCGTTTACAAACATACAAGTTCACATACACATCACACCCAGACCCGAAACAACAATTTGTGGATCACACAAAGTTTTATTCCGTGCGGGAATCGAACCCGCGACACGTTGTACAGCAGCCGGTTGCCCAGCCACCGCACCAACCGTGCAGTCTATTTTGGTTTGGAATAATACATAGTCTTTCATCGCGCTGGGTGAAGCTAGTAATTCTATAATTATACAGCAGATAACTAACCTTCGTACGTGTTGACTGCACTATCGTTGATGTTCGCCGTAAGCATTTCATGCTCGTCCGTGTTGTGTTCTATGAACACATCCTGTAACACAAAACTTCTCATTTAAAAACTAAATATCTACATGTTTGTTATCACTGTATTTTGAGTTTATAGTATAAATTATAAAGTTTTTGGGAGTTTTAAAAATTGATAATATTTATATTAAAGTTTCGTGACATATACTAATTATATTTATTACTAGCGACCCGCCCGGCTTCGCACGGTTGCAATATGCATGTATTATACATTTAATCTTCCTTAAGAATCACTCTATCTATTAAAAAAACCGCATCAAAATCTGTTACGTAGTTTTAAAGATCAAATTATACATAGGGACAGACAGATGGCAGATAGCGACTTTATTTAATAGTTATATGTGTTAATAACGAAAAATGAAGATCAGAGACGCGCGCAGTGCGGTCTGTAAGTCGCGGAGAACCTAACGGGTAACCGGGGCTCCGGCTCGACGTGCAGGAGAAGGAACGGGGTGGTTTTAAGAGTCTGACACTCCCAGGCGGGAGCAGTCATTCAATGATTTTCCCCCCTTAAGGTCTAGCTAGTGACATTTGGGAAACCCTAGTGTGACGTCACATTTTCAAATTTACGCATAATAAAATTTATTTAATAAACACAGCAGTTTCGAAATCAGTTTTATTTCGCGCGTAACACTATTTATATAGCGAGCGGTCGATAAAACGATTGGTATCTTATATTTACACAGATGAATGTAGTATTAGGCGTTTTTAAGGTTTTCGTAGATTAATAGTTTATAGTTCGTGTTTTAACATAGATTATAACAGTTTATTAAATGTGACGTCACAAAGTTTACGATTCCTCCCACCCTTTCACACAACCCCCTTCCCCCTTCCCCGGCCCCCTCCCTACCCCAACGCGAGTCCCTAACGCGAGTAGTGCAGTGACCTTGGGCGGCGGGTGTTTGTAGTGCAGACTGATCTTGCTGAGCTCGTGGTCCAGCTCGGCCAGCTGCGCCGCGTGCCGCGTGCCGCGCGCCGCCGCGCTGGCCGCGCCGCCCGCCTCGCTCGCCTCGCCCGCCTCGCCCGCCTCGCTCGCCTCGCTCGCCTCGCCCGCCTCCGCGCCCTCCGACTGGAACATTATTGTGTACGTGCAGACGGAGGTGGTCCGTGACGTGTGATGGTGGAGAGTGAATGTAGTGAGCGTACCTTGGGCATGGCGTGCAGGGCCGGCCGGTGGGTCGGCGACAGTGCGGGGCTGTACTCCAGCGGAGACTGCGGGGAGACAGGGCCCTGGACCGAAATATAGCTTTACTAACATATATGTATAGATAATGAAAAATATGTACATTTTTCTTAATATAGAAACAAAACGTGTGATCATGAATACTATTAAATATTCTTAGTGCCATAATAAAAGTATAATTAGATTATGGAAGTTAGTTGTAGTAAATGCACGGTAAATGTTCGCATACTAGTTACTACCCGCGGCTCCACCGACATTCTCGTGGGATAAAAAATAGCCTATGTGTTATTACAGCCCATCATCTACACCTATATCAAATTTCATCCCGATTTTGACGCGATTGAGTAACAAACATACACACAAACTCCCAAACTTCCTCAATAATAATATAAGTAAGACAGTCAGATTTCTCTGCAATAGACAGATTAACTCACGCTATTGGATATGGAAGCGAGCTTGTGTTGCAGCGTGAGCATGTACTCGCTGTACGACTGCGGCTTGTTAGGAGTGCTCGGCTGGGAGGAACCCGTCGAGTTCACTGCAGTCATGCCTGGAATTACAACCGACAGTCTTTAAAATATCAAAACTGAACGACTCATGTCGGAATACTGAAACGCTACTCAATTTTAAGCCGTGCTTAAGTATAGTTCTGTCTCCACAAATTCTTTGTAAAATGACAGAGATGGCACGATATTTGGTACGACTTAAAATTGAGTAACGTTTCAGTATTCCGGCATCACTGTGTCAAAATCAAACAAATTTAGGAACAAATACGTGAAAAAATTACACCTTTTATCTTAATCAGCTGGAAGATGTCCACTGCTAAATTATGGTGGATTATATTATATTTTTTTTCGTTCACTCACCTATATTTGAAATAATGCACGCTGTAAAACTCTGTAATAAACTTAATGATTGCATGTCCTATTGTTACCTTACACAATCGTCTATTCACATAACATAGCGCCTTTTATCCCCTAAGGAATAGGCAGAGATACACATTACGGCACCTAACGCCACTGTACAATGTATCACCCACTTTTCATTATTTATGTTATGAGTCCCATGAAATAGGGGGTGAGCCTATTGCCATATACCGGACACAATAGGGGGTATCGGATTATCGCGGCAATTATTTAACACATTTTATTTTTAATGAAGCAGTAACGAAAAACATAATATTAATTACGGGTATAAATAATCATAAAGATTAGTTTAAAATAGTTTTTGAAAAGTTGTCTGAACCCCTGTTCCAAACTCCGTGCTACTACTTATAATTTATAAAAACCCCAGTACTAATTTCGTGTATTTACTTAACTAAATGATTTGTCGAGTTTTCTGTCAATAAATAAATATTGGTATACCTGCCATATCCATGTCCACGGCCCTTCTAGCCAGCGCATGGTGCACGGCGCGTTGGGCCACTAGCTGTCCCAGATTCTGGTTGATAATTCCTAAATTCTGCCCTCCCAGGGACAAGTTCTGTCCCCCTAGCGCCAGGTTCTGGCCACCAATGAGATTCTGACCACCTAATCCTAAGTTTTGACCTGCTAGACCTGGAACCAATTAAGTTTGCCTACTTTTAATTTCTGTAAGGAAGTAAATTATTATAACTGACAGGGCAACTTACATAATAATTTACAACGTAATAGAATATTATGGTTTATTGTATAATAGGGTACTTTCCATATTCAAAAATAAATTGTTTCGACTGTTCAATATAATAAAATATTAAAAACACTTTCAATTATTGATTTCATGACAAAATTGCTTTTAGTATTTTTCCAGCAAATTTTTAACAAATAACTATTTATTTATTTGTTTACTTTTTTATCAATTCTTTAATGCAAAAAATAAGGTACATAAAGCTGTAAGGCTGTAAGGTACATAACTATGCTGTTTGATCCTAAAAAAACGTGATTTGATCTGGTAAAAAATTCATAGAGAACTGTAGTTTTGTAGTTCGAAGTAAATATTGAATTTGAAAGATAAAAAGTCAAAGTCAAAGTCAGAGCATTTATTTCAATTAAACCATAGTTTGGTACTTTTGAAACGTCAACAAACACAAAATAAATAATAGTCTGTCAGTCAGTCCGTCAGTGAAACTAGGTGAAGCTAGGTGCTCATTCCAAAAAGTAGATTCGAATGAAGAAGAACGAGCAAGAAACTCCATTCGTTACTCTTTTTAAAAAAGCCTAATTGAACAGATGTTATAAGAATGGCAATTGTACAAAGTACATGAATTTGTATAATTGCAATTTTACTCTTTGCATATTCAACGATTTACTTATTAGTTCAGTTCGCGATTAACCGTACAAGTGTGCACACAAGTCATTTTAATATCAAGTATTGTTTCAATAAGTTTCTACAATTCAACAAGTTTTATTTATCAAGATCATCAGTTATCAAGACAAGAGCATCAAATCTACAATTACCTGTATAATTCCCCAGATTCTGTCCTAGATTCTGCCCCATAAGATTCTGGTTGAGTGCTAAATTCTGTGCAATGTTTTGATGCTGGAAGGCGATAGCTTGCGGAGCCAGCGGCGTGGCCAGCCCCATCATACCGAGCTGAGACATCTGCTGACTGGCCAACTGGTTCACTGACGATTGCAGGGCTTGCTGCTGAGCTGATGATTGAAAGAGGGGATTGAGTCCTGCGTTAGTGAAAAACAAATGTTTAATATTTGATTCTGAGAATATTGATTAAACCTTTTTATCTTCCCCCTACTTTCAGTACTTTTTCTTGACATGTTTACAGAGTGTAACCCTGTTTGATAAGTGCAATTCTATGGATGTGTGCACAGAACTGGTGAAATCAAACATTTTCGCCAAAAAATATTGTATTAAGAACCTTCCAAGATAGAAAGGACTAGCTGTTCGACTCGCATTCGCTCTCAGCTCATATCAGCTCAATTGAGAGCCATATTTCATTAGACTATAAACACAATATTTACATTGAAAGCAATAATTTAATTAACTAAGGGTAAAACATGTACAGTTTGGAATATGTAATTCAATTTAAAACAGGAATTAAGCAACGAAAAAAAAAGTAAGTGTTGTGTAAGAAATACAAAAGTAAATAATAAAAAATGAAATAATTATTGAGACGAAAGTTGATATCTATTGTTATTATTTAGAAAGCAGGGGGCGTGTGTCCTATGTACATGTAACACATACATACATCTACACATTTACATAACATATAATTATGTATAGGAATGATAATGAGATATGAAATCCCTACTGAGCTAAAGTAAGTTAACACTGCATCATCCTTTAGCGTCTAAGTGACGAGAACAAAGCATGAATAATGGACATCAACTATCGTTTCCATCTAATAAAGTAAACAAAATAAGAGAGAATTGGAGATTACCAATGAAGTCGTTGGCCAGCATCGGTTGGTAGTACTTGGGCTGCTGGTACTGAGGAGGCAGGCGCGCCGCCATCATAGGTGCTGACGTCACGAGCAATATAGTTAGTCACTCCATGCGCAACACAGTTAGTCGCTGGCCACGCGAGCGCGGCGCGTCCTGCGTGCCATGAGCGGGAAGGAGGCGGCTCGACCGGCGGCCACTAGGCGCACCCACCTGGCCTCGACCGGCGGCCACTAGGCGCACCAACCTGGCCTCGACCGGCGGCCACTAGGCGCACCAACCTGGCCTCGACCGGCGGCCACTAGGCGCACCAACCTGGCCTCGACCGGCGGCCACTAGGCGCACCAACCTGGCCTCGACCGTTCAACACGTACCATTGTTTGTCTCCCGCTCATCGCTGACGCAGGACGCGCCGTTCTAGTGTGGGTGCAGCGTTACAGTGCACGCGGTGCGTACGGTCAAAGGTCAAAAGTCCACTGCCACCGTAAGACTACTATCGGTTGCGCTGCAGCGCTTATACACACATGCATGCGCATATTTCTATCCGTGTGTTTATGCATACGCACGCATTTTAATGCACATTAATATGAAATTATTTACGCATTGCCGTGTGAACATCACTCACGGTGGACTTTTGACCTTTGACTGTACATCGCTAAAGTTATTTATTCCCAACGAGGGAAGATTCACTCTACGCATTCATAATTATAATAATAACATTATATCACCCTCTAATATTTTTATGGCTATTCTAAATGATTTTTTTCTATATTCCCCCGTCGCATGTGTATTTACAAAAGACCGTATTTAACTATTGCTTATAAGCATGTGAGGATATTTAATTGATTCGCTGCTAGTAACTTATACATGGAGCTTACTCTTGAATCCAATTCCGATGATCGACATTGGCATTGTGAAATTTCATACTCGCAACACTAGAGCCCATTGCATCCGTATTGCGTGGATATTGAATGTATTGAGTTTGGCTTTATGTTCTGTACTCTAAATGTTATTTCAACAGCTACAAAAATAGAGGTTGTATAGTTTTGAAATTGAATAATTATTGAGATTTTATTGGATTGAAATTGCATTGACATTCAGATTGGTTTCAAGAGTAAGGCGAGGCGACTGATATACTAATTTTCACTTGTTTACTTTAACGAATAAATGTAGTCGAGTGTCGTTTGCGAATACACTGTGCTTAGCGATGTATGTGTTGATACATTAAAGAAAATTTGCACATATTTGTTAAACGCGTTTATCACATCAGAAATATTATGATTTGATTGCATTTTCTACCGTCGTTATAAATTCCATAATACCTTGTTTGGTAAAAATAACCGTAGATGTTAATAAACATCGTGAGACATACTGAAATAAAAATTACGAGTTACTCACGTGAATATACTGAGAAAAGCTACTTCTCCGTATATTTACTTAATTCGTAATTTTTAGTTAATAATTATAGATTAGACGGTAATGTACCATAATTAAAATATTTCTGTTGTGATATATAAGAAAACGTAGTCAAAAAAATACTATAAACAGTCATGTCGATTCCTCAAATTAAACTTTTAACTATGCTTCAGCTTTATCATCGTCATCATATAAACCAAAAAATATCCACTGTTGTACATAGATATAGTCATAGATATAAGGATATATTAGTACACCGCGGACTAACCTTCTCCATAAAACATCCTTACTGCCTTTAGAGAGGGCACAGAGAGCAGTTCTCAAAGTTATGAATGCCAAACCCTTTAAATATCCCACGACAACACTCTACACTGAATGTGGTGTTCTTACAGTTAGACAGCTCTTTGTTCTATCCACTGTTTTACGCAAACATCCGACGGTAATATTGGAAAAGAATGACACAAGAAAACGCAGACGTAACAAAATATGCCCAACCCACGTATGTCGTACGACCGTTGCCCAGCGACATTATAATGTCCTCTCTAGTCATATTTACAACAAGGTCCATAATGTTTGTGACATTGTTTCATTGTGCCGGAGGGGGTGTAAGGCAAGGGTTCATGAATGGCTTTTAACGTTAAATTACGACCAGACGGAAGAGCTTATTAAGATTTCTACTCTTTGACACACGTTTATACACACACCTAAACACTACACATACATTCACACTACACATACATTCACACTACACCAACATTTTCATACACAAAATAATAATTAAGTATGCACTCGCAAATCAAAAGAGGCTGCATTAGTACCTACTTAGAAAATAATATATAGTACAGTATATTAGAATAATGTTTATTCCAGTCTAAACCTGTTTGAAGTGTTCGTCCAACAACTTAAGTTTGTGCAAATGAAGAAGGACAATGGTGGTACCCATAACACAAGTTTGATCTTACCTTGGGTACCATAGTTTCATCTTAAGTACTCACTTTTTATATGATGTTGTAACGATTAATTTTATATATAAGAGTTACTGTAAAAATTATGGTTAATAAACATTATTATTATTATTATTATATTCTCCCTTACTGCTTATCCATCAATGGTGGATCAACATTTTAAGTGTGGGAGATCCATGCTCCAGTACGAATGGGCCGGCTCGACCGGAGTGATACCACGGGCTCACAGAAAACCGACGTGAAGCAACGCTTACGTTGTGTTTCGTCGTGTAAGTGAGGTTACCATAGACCCAATTATCCCCTCCCCCGTTCCCCAATCTCTGAATCCCCAACAATCCTTAAATTCCTAATCTCCTAAAGGTCGTTAACGCACTTGTAACGCCTCTGGTGTTCCAGGTGTCGGGACGGTTCAGCTAGTATTATAATTTCTTTGGACTCATTACTTCTTGCCTATCGTTTTAATGTACATATTTACATAATTTTGTTTAATTTGAAAATCCGACATTCACTAACAGACAAGTGTTCCATGAAACGTATACAATTATTAACAAAGAAAACAAAAAAAAACCACAAAATATTATTTGAAAAATGTTGTAAACTTACCAGGTTGTGTGTTATTGAGTATGTTGTTGTGCAGGCCGATGTCTGGCTGCGGGTACGATTGCTGGTTCAGTAATCCGAGTAGGTTAGGCCCGGAGAGGTTTTGCTGCTGACTGTGCAAAAATATGAATTATACTGTTTGTTGTTTGTATACAATGCTCCAATTTCACTTACATACTTAATTGCATATTGTATTTTAACCATTTCTTTAAGAATGTATTATTTTAAAACAATTATTATTATTAATATTGATATTGATACAGATAAGTTATAAAATAAATCAAATAGTCTTACTTCATAATATTTTGCTTCAACAACATCCTCTGTATATTCTCAGCATTAGGCATCGCGTCGTTGGCCCCCGGAGTGGGGCCTGACATGGCCAGCCCGACCCCTTGCAGCCCCATGTTCAAGCCGAGCTCCCCTCCCACGCCCATTGGGGTCCCGACCTGACTCAACCCCAATAAGGGGGTATCTGTGGCTATTTGCAACGGTGTTGTTAGGTTAGGTTGTACATTAGAAGAGTTTAACATAGGATTAATAATATTTTGAGCAGGCACTTGTGGCACGCTCGAAATATTAGAAACTATTGGGGGAAGAACCATAGTAACTGTGACTGGCACTTCTTGCTTCATTTCTATTGGCCTTTCTATAGACTGGACGTCGGGTCTTAGATCTACGGGAGGCTGAATCTGCGGTGCTACTGAATACTGGTGCGTAGGAACAAATTCCTGTGGGGGGAGCGGGGCAGGTTCCTTTTCTGGGAGACCGTTGACTTGAGGTTCTACATGTTCCGCGGGTTCGGGTATTGGTTTTTCTTCTGGGACATTCTCCCCGCGGTCGACTACGGGGCTGACTAGAAATCGTGATATCTTTCGAGTTGGCTTTTGTTGTTTCTTTTCGCCGCTCTGCGATTCCGTGCTGCCAGAACGCTCGGGCGCCATCGACCCGCCGTCCGATTGATTAGAACCTGCGTTGGAATGGAAATGTTTCAATAAACAGTCAATCTGGAAAACTTTTATTAAGATACATATGATGAAATAAGAACCCACATATTTATTTTAACTGTAAGTCTATAAAAAGATTAAACATTCACCTATTTCATAGCTATATGATTATAATATTATCTAACCTATAGACGAGGCAGTGCTAATCTTCCTGGCGACGGTGTCACCATGCGGTGCATGGGGCAGCGCAGGCGCGGGGCCCGACTGCGCGGGCGCGGGGCCTGGTTGTGCAGGGGCGGGGCCTGGTTGCGCGGGGGTGGGGCCCGGTTGCGCGGGGGCGGTGCCGAGCTCAGACTCGGGCTGGTCGTAAGCGAGTTCGGCTGCGATGTTGTCATGGCTGGCCGTCGGCGTCGTACACTCCGAGTTGTCCTGGTTAGAATCCGTCAGGTTTTCCTCGCGTTCAGTCGTTTCGGAATCGTAGTCAGTCTGGAATCGATAAAAATAGAGAACTTTAATTCCATGATCACAATTTAATTAGTCACAATGACGTTTCAAGGTTTCATTTATAATAAAGCACGTTTCGCATAGTGGTTTTCACACGACGGTTTTATTTCTCAAAAGGACGGCCATAGAGTAATGCACTGATAACTTTATCATTCAGTCTAGCCACATTGCATCAAAATACTACATCCTAGCTAATCTCGATTACAGCGTTGGTCAGGCACCATGACGATCATGTGGTATAATAATACAGTTTTCCATTTGCACAGTATTAGGACATACGGTTACCGGTATAGGTCCAGACGATGAAATCATAACATTAAATAATAATCAGAAAACTACAATAGTCAGAGATCGAGGTTAGTTTCGGTTTCAAGCATTGCTCAGAGGCTCAGATTCAGTAGCAGCGCGAAGCCGTCGCGTCCTATGTCGCGGAATGCTATAGGTATTTGCAATTCGTTGATACATTCATATTACTTTTACTTTGAGAAGAGGATCCTGCCCCCCAGTCACACTAAACAACATTGAAATCCCACAAGCAGAGCATGTGAGATACCTTGGATTGCATCTGGACAAAAGACTTACCTGGCAAAAACATATTTTCACTAAGAGAAAGCAACTTGGTATCCAAACACGAAAACTTTACTGGCTCATAGGGCAAAAGTCTCAGCTGTCTCTCGACAACAAAATACTGTTGTACAAGGCAATATTAAAGCCCATCTGGACATACGGGATCCAATTGTGGGGCACCGCATCTCACTCAAATATAGAGATTATACAGAGGTTTCAAAATAAAGCTCTGCGTATGATAACCAACGCACCCTGGTTTGTACCCAATGAGCTGCTTCACCATGACCTACGAATGCCCACTGTAAGGCAGGAAATCATACACCATACCAAGTGCTATAATGAAAGAATCCAACAACACCCAAATACTCTGGCTCGGTCACTAATGGACAATCACAACAAAGCGCGACGATTAAAGCGCAAAATACCTCAAGACCTAATCCAACCACAGTAATTATAACTACTGTTTAAATAATGAAGATGTGGCACAGGCCACATACTGAGCGAGTCTGCGTTAGCACAAACCGATATACTTCTGAATGTCCCACGAAGGAGACAGATTGTAGTATTTAATAATATATAAAAAAAAAAAAAAAAAAAAATCAAATACAAATTCAAATCGGAAATCTAGCTGGGGTAAGTTTCCCTGTATTGCTTAATGTAAGGTGTTTCTTCCTTCTAAATTTCTGTCTAGTAGCGGCTTTTCTTTTTTTCTTTGTCTGCTGGGACACCTTTGCTAACGCTTGCCTTGTGTCTGCGCTACCAAGATTTAAATTCCGCATTAGACCTCGCATCGCAACCATTTACCTGGTGGCGAGTGGAAGACCAGACCTCCTTCTGGCTGGGAACTACCTAGGTCTTGCTGAAGACCTGGAAGTGCAATTGTGAACGAGACTGGACCGCCGGCAAAGCTACTCTACGGTGAAACATGAGAACTGAACTCAGCCTACGTATTACCCCAAACCTGGACGTGATTGGGGCAACAAAAAATTGGCATAAATAGAGTTAACTACCTTCTACCAAATAGTGTACTTTATTTGGACCCCTACCTACCAAACTGCCGGCCACCTGACTACTAAAGGGAAGTCAGGTGCCGCATAATATTTAAAAGGCTTACCTTGTCAATATTGAGCCTGAGTGCAGAGTGGTGCGCGGGGTTGAGTACGGGGGTGACTCCAGGGTTGGTAATGAGCTGATTCACGATGTCTTTGATCAGCTCCATGAACGTAGCGCTCTGCCATTCTGGGAGTAAGTTGTTTGACACCTGCACGCAGTACATTCGAATTTAAACAGAGCCTAAAGTGTAATACTGATAAACACATGTATAATGACAATTAATTCGACACAATCTAAGAGGTCAACTCTGATAGCTGTCATGTGTAATGAGAAGTAAATAATTGCGGAAACCGAACCCACTACATGTTGCCCAGTCACTGGGCCAACTGTGCAATCAAATATCACATTATATAGCTTAAAATATGTTCATGGGTGTTTCTATCTGGGCCCAATAATATCCCCAAAAGACCTGAAGTCCAACATTTTAATAAAAAAATCACAAAAACTCACAAGGTTGCTAGCAATTTCCTCAGGATTGACGTCAGTCACGTCAAACTTGAAGGTGACGGTCTTGGATTTAGACTCAAGCTGGCACTCTACCATGGTGGCTGCCTCATTCACCTCCAGCACCGTCAGTTTCGGCAGCTTGTCCTTCTCCCGGGAACGTTTCTTCGAGCCACGGGACTTCTTCTCGCTTGTTATTGGAGATGATATGGCCGTACCCACTGGAAGTCATACCATCACACATCACCAAGTTACAAGGTTTAGATATTATTATTTTTATTTATTTATTTATTTATGTACCTGCACACATTCAACACAGAGGACAATACATATATAAAACAGAGTACATAGGCCCCACATATTCCAACTGGAATTTCTTCCTGTGGGTCTGTGGCATTATGTTATCCGCTACCGCCTGTCGGCGTCACGAATATGACGTAGGAGCATCAAAGCGTTACATTGAAAATTTAAGGAGATAGTATCCGAGTAACCGGGGTTTATGGTTTGTTTGTTGTGGCAAGAAATGCTACATACATTTGATCACAATAGTTAAACACAAAGTAATAAAAACAACAATTTCGATATCTCACCTTCCTGTTGCTGAATCTCCGCCTGTTTCTCCTCAACAGAGCTGAGCTCAGGCTGTTTGATAGCCTCGGCATGGTTCGTCGGGAACTCCGTCAACGGAGTGTGGAATTGCTCCTTTTGTCCACCGTTACTCTGGTACCCATTCTCCACTTGGTCTGCTGGAAGGTTCAACTGCTGAGGCTGTTGTACAAGGTCCGGCTGTAACTGGACTTGCTGCTGAAGAGGCTGGGCATGAGGAACCGGCGTAGGTTGTGGCTGAGACTGAGGAACCGGTTGGGACATCTGTTGAATCTGAGGCTGTATCGTCTGAACTTGTTGTATGGGCTGTAATTGTTGTTGTTGCGGAACCTGCGACTGCTGGATGGGGAGTGGCACCGAGTGCATCGGCTGGGGCACGGACATGGGCACCTGCACCGGCATCTGCTGCGGCATCGCGTCCTGGACCGACTGCATGCCGGCCGCCGCAGATGAAGGTATTGACGACTCCATCTGGTTGGTCTGATACATGTTCTGCATCATCACGGGCTGGCTCTGCGCCGGCTGGTACATTTGCAAAGGATTGGCGGAATAATTCTGCACCGGGGTGCCTTCATGACTAGATATCTGCCTCTCGTTTTGGCGTACCATACCGAAGTTGTGGTGCGGCATGGACTGGCCCTGCATGCGGTCCACGGACAGCTGTTGCTGCAGCTGCGGGCGCGGGTATGGGTCGGGCTCGGAGTCCTGGCGGCGGCAGGAGCGCTGGTCTAGCTGCTCCAGCAGCGTGCGGCGCTGCAGCAGCGTGGCCCAGTCGTGCGCCAGCGCGTCCTGGCGAGCGTGCAGCTGCAGCGCCTGCTGCGCCAGGTAGTGCTGCTGCGGCTGCAGCGCGCGCGCGTGGTGCGGCGCCTGCTGCAGATGTTGCTGCAGCGCCAGCTGTTGCTGCGCCAGGACCTGCTTCTGCACGTCCAGCTGTTGCTGCGCCTGCGCGACCTGCTGCTGCGCCTGCGCCACTTGCTGGTGCTGCGCGAGGTACGTGGGATCTATGTTCGGTTGCTGCGACGGTTGCGAGAACTGCTGGCCGTGTTGGTAGTTGACATTCTGTTGCTGCAGCTGCGAGTTGACCAAGTTCTGCATCTGTAGCAGCGCCTCTTGTTCCTGGTTCTGTTGCATGTCGACGTTCTCCGTCGGTTGTTGTGTCATTTGTTGCTGTTGTTGCTGCTGTTGCTGAGTTTCAGATTCCGATTCCTTCCTAGATTGTAGCGTGTCGGGTCTTTGTATGATTTGTGATAAAATAGTTTGCAGGTTCTGTAAGGAGGGATCTAACATTTGGCCAGTGACGAGATTCTGGGGACCTGCAATCATATTGTCTTGCGCTGTGAGTTGTTCTTCGAATTGTTTCTGCTGTATGGCGGCGGCTTGCTGAGCAATGATAGTTTGTTGTTGCTGTATTATTTGTTGTTGCAACACCTGGTTCTGGGTATTGATCTCGGCGGTTAACTGTTGGTTCAAGAGGTTCGGCTGCCACTGTGTCTGTGAAGGGACTTGCTCAAGAAGATTTTGTTGAACTTGCTTCTCCATTAGAACCTGGCCTTGGACTGACTGTTCCAGCATTTGCTGGTTGATGAGATTCTGCTCCATCATTACCTGGGAGAAGATTAACAACAAAATTTGAAAGGAGGAAATCTAATCCTCATGCGATGAGTAATTAAATGCTATGGTAAAGAGTACAGTAACATGCTCTATGTGTAACATTGTCCTGTGTGAGCAATGAGTACAACGCAACGTCGTGACACGGAATTTGGTTCTTCAGCTTGAATTAGAATTATATAGAAGTACATTGTGCTTACAGCACAGCCTTTAAAGAAGGATGATAATAATGACAAACCTGTTGTTTCAAGTTTTGTTCAAGAAACACCTTGTTCTGTAGAAGCTGCTGGTCGGCAGCCATGGAAGGCGATATCCTAGCCTGCATGAAGTTCTGTTGCAGAAGCTTCATGGCAGCGTCCTCGTTATTCAGCTGCTGGATCTGCTGCTGGAGCAGTTGCTGCTGACACTGAAGGAGCTGCGATTGAGGGTCCAGCCTGAAGATGCAAGTCTATAAGTATACGTTGACTGCTGAGTGTACAACACGTTAGTGGACTAAAATGTACACATCATTAGAAAAAACTGGTTTTAAACTGTTACTTTATCCCAGTATTTTAGCACCAAAATTAAATGATCTAATAATGGCAAGAGTAAAGTAGAGTAGAGTGAAATGTGGGAGTGCCATGCTTCGGCACGGATGAGCCGGCTCAACCAGAGTAATACCACGGCGCCACAAACAATATTGGGCATCCCCAATCCCCGACATGTCGATGTCCATGGGCGCCGCCGGTTGTCTACCATGACCTGTCTATTAGTTTCCCTTCCTATTCCATAACAGTACTTACTGCACGCCAGCGAGGGGCTGCGACCCGACTCCGTTGAGAAGCCCTGCGGTCACCTGGTCCACGGGTCCTGCTTGCTGCTGATTCTGTATCATCTTCATCTGCTGTATAAGTAATTAAAAATAACAAATAATTAGCAACAATTCATTTATCTGAAACTCGTAGCGTGGTGATTTAGAGCCTTTCGCAATATACCTCTAAATCTAAATAAAAAAATAAGTAAGTACAAGTATAAACCGCAGATTACTTCTTGGCAAAAGTTTATTTTATTGATACGAAAACAACCCCGTAACTAATCATTCATCCGATCGGCGAACCGAACCCGAGATCCATTGTTCGACAGTGACATTTGCGCCCCAAACCATAAAAGGTTACATATTATTAGAAGCAAGTATAACAGCTCACACATAGGACCCATTTAGTTTTAGTGAAATTTTCGTGGTGCTTGATAACTGCTTCCCCGAGTCGTGCAGTATCTTTTGTGCCTTTAGGCTTAAGTCATTCTCGTTCCTGCATAAATACACCGAAGGAAGTGAAAATTACCATTTTTTTCCTTCTCTATTATTATAATCTGATCTATTTCATTGCGAGATTCAAGACGGTTATCCACGTCCTTAGGACGCGCGGGACTTCAGTGTTCCGATGTTTTCATAGTTGTATCTACTGTAGATCCCGGCTTACAGGAGTTGCAGTGGTATTGGGAGGTTATGGCGAGTTGTGTCCATAACATAACATAATATCACGCCTTTTATCCCCGAAGGTGTACATTACGGCAATTAATACCACTGTATACTTTTCACAATTTATGTTACGAGTCCCATATTATAGAGGGTGAGCCTATTGCCATATACCAGGCAGAATTCCAGACTCCGTGCGACTCCTGAGATTTTTTTTTAAACCCAGTAGTATTTTGCCCGACCCGGGAATCGAACCCGAGACCCCTTGCCAGGTAGTCGTACTTGCGACGACTCGGCCAACAAGGCAGGCGAGTTTTTTTTTTAAGGGGTTAAAATCATCGAATGACTGCACCCGCCTGGGTCAAGCGGAAGGGAGTGTCAGACTCTTACTGACTAAAACCACCCCGTTCCTTCTCCTGCACGTCGAGCCGGAGCCCCGGTTACCCGTTAGGTTCTCCGCGACTCCAAATCTGCATCAGCCCTATTGGGCCCCATCTGTGGTGGTCTGAAGGTTCTTTGAGGCGCGCGCGGAACGCGACGCACCGTACGCTCGGGACTGTTTCTGGTCGGACGGGGAGCCAAAAAAAAGACCCCTTGCCCAGCAGTCGCACTTGCGACGACTCGGCCAACGAGGCAGGCTAGTTTGTCCCTAAGCCATAAATAAAAAGATGTTTGAAGTAGGCTATCACTGACCTGCCTTAACTGTTGCTCATATAGTTGCTGCCTGTTCTGCTCGATAATCAGCATTTGAGAATTCTTCTCCTTCCTCTCTCTGTAAGAGCGATATACCATTATTAATATTAATCATTTATTTCAGACCAAAAGTCCATAAACTGTTAGTAACAATGAGCTTAACCTATTGTTGTTGAAGTGTAATTTAATCCTTACTAATATTACAAATCGGAAAGTGAGTTTGTTTGTTCCACTTTCGCGCCGTTACTACTAAACCGATTGCTTTGAATTTTTGCAGACGTGAAATTAGAAGTCTGGATTAAATAATAAGGTACTTTTTATCCCGAAAAAATTGATATTCCCGAGGGAATACGAAAGTATTGGTATAGATAGCGCTGTGTGTATTGGTATAGGTATGTCACATAGGCTTCTTTTTATCCTTTTGTGACGCGAGCGAAACCGCGGGTAAAAGCTAGTATAATATAAATAAACAAAACTAATTCTACTTTACAGCCGCGTGCAGTCTAATCCAATGGCCCAACATTGGGCTATCCCATTTATCACACAATACGCTCAAGATGCTGTGTGCAATTATGTAGCAAAACTTTTCCGCTTAACTGTTCTGACAGTCGCAGAAAGAAGCCAATGTCCAACAGTCTTCTACCAGGATAATGATGATAAAAACGAATCAACAACAAAAATGGTCTGCCTACATTACAATTATTGTTTAATACACAATTAATTACACACATATACATATCACATACATACAAGATACGCCCGAAAAACAATACCCTTGTTACAATCCAAATACATTGTCCAAAAATTCCCATCATTCTGGGTAAAGAAAGTAATTGACTGAAAGTCGAAACTCTCTATCTCTTAAACCACATATTTGAGTTCCGGTACTTTAATCCTTCGAGTACCGTCATTATAGACACAATAGGGTAGACGACTAATTTTTATTTTAATGTCCGTCTGGTAGATTATTTAAAAACATTAGACACGTATTTTTTATTTTCTTACGGAAACGAATAGTTTCGAAGATATATTGATTTGAAATGTCGCGTGACGTCACTTCTCAGTACATTTTATACTAAGAAATGACGTTTTAGCCCCCACTCCTAAACTTTGATTCGTTTTATCTAAGTATTGTTTTATTATACGACAAAATAAAAAAATACGTGTCTAATATTTTTTAATTACCTAACTTACGGACTAATTATATTTTTAATTTTCATACCCTGTCATCATCCCCATTAAAGCAAAAAGGTTGCGGTCACCGGTGTCCTCGCGGTGTTTGACAGTTTACACAGCACTTTTGACGATAATTTCAATCACATGCCGAAAGAAACAATCAATTCCAAATTTAATAAAAATAGATATCTAGATCTGTGTTATTACTGAAAATCAGTATTATTTAACCACATAACTTGTGAAGCGAAAATAAGAGGCATTATAAACTCCTTTCCCACTACTCTCTCAAGACATTTAAATAACAAATAATGAGAAACAGACTAACCAAGCAGTCCTTACACACACACAACTGTAAAATTGAATATAACCTACCACAAACTTGAACACGCATTAAATAAAGAAGAAAACAATCGATAGCATATAATAAACAGCTATAAATTTTATTAAATAACCTTCGTCTAAGGAAACTGGACCAATTAAGCTTAACGGAGCTGAAACTGAAGTATTAGCACGCAAGGTCATTCCATACTAGGTACAAAACTCGTACCAACTTGGATACCGTTGCCATGGTTACCGGACTAACAGATTTCGTATCGAAGTACTTTTTTAAAGATTTGTTGAGGCTAAACACAATACTACATAGGTATTATACTATGTCTCTTTTTTTAACGGGGGAAAATCATCGAATGACTGCTCCCGCCTTGGTGAGGCGGGAGAGGGAGTGTCAAACTCTTACTGACTGAAAACCACCCCGTTCCTACTCCTGCACTTCGAGCCGGAGCCCCGGTAACCCGTTAAGTTCTCCGCGGCCCCATCTGTGGTGGTGGTCATCAGACCACCACCACAGATGATAGCTATCAAACAGCTCTTTGAGGCGCGCGCGAAACGCGACGCGCCGCACGCTCGAGTCTGGTTCTGGTCGGGCGGCGAGCTACCCATGCCGATTTGACGGCGTTTTTTATTATTTAAAATTATAACATAACACAACATCACGCCTTTTATTCTCGGAGGGGTAGGCAGAGGTGCACATTACGACACTTAATACCACTGTACAATGTTATACCTACTTTTCAGTATTTATGTTATGAGTCCAATGTTATAGGGGGTGAGCTTATTGAAATTGAATAAAATTATAATGGTGACTACTATACAGGGTGACTTGTAACTTGACGTATTCCTCTCGGGAGGTGATAATACAACTAATTTCCTACAAAATTAGCCCTGAGGTCTCTGGTCCTGATATTCAACATTTTCGGTTTTGGTAAAAAATCCCGATCGAGTTACAAAAACATCAATATATAAAAACTCTTCTGGTTTAATTTAAGTGATTTTTTGTAAGTTAAGTTTTTTTTTGTAAGTGTTAATTTATTGTCAATACATCAATAAACATCAATTAATAAGAAATTATTTTTCTATCGATTGGAAGAATACAAGATAAATACATATATTGATAAGCTGTAATAATAATTGCAAGAAAGCCATACATTTTTAGATGGACTACTTAACTAATTTTGTGTGACGTAATATTTTCTTGTATTGAACAGTCGAAATATTTTATTTTTGATTAAGGAAAGTACCCAATTGAGTAGGTACCTAGCCTTTCAGTATTTGGGCGACAGTATCCTAAACACAGAGTTATAATATCTTTAATCCTATACGTTAAGAAATTATTGTGTTTAACACGTTCGCATTGAAACATAGCTGTAACTCAATTTACTAAGGCGATATACGATTTTAATGACAAAATGTAAATAAAGGAGATAGTAGACTCAAAAACACATCAAGAACACTTTTCTAGAAACGAATAATGAACGTAATAAAAAAATAAACCAAACATAATCTCACTTTAATCCTATCGATGTTTAAATGAAACACTTTCACAAAACACACAAAGAACAACTTTCACTGTCACTTATCAAAGACACTGTCGCTGTATTAACAAATTGTTTAGAAACATCATTTTATTATTAATATACTATACCAATTTAAATAATTAGTAAAAAAAAACAAAACTGGCGTTATCTTTGATATGAAGTCGGTAACGAGCCGTGTGCCGACGCGGAACGCGCGCGTGTTGTGACGGCCGGCAGCCGACAGTTAAAAAAATAGTGATATTGCTACAAACAAATATACGGGCAACATCATTCGTTGCACAGATAAGGAGACCGCGTGGGACGGGGTTTGAGGATAAAGACATATTACAGGTTCGAGAAGTAATATGGTACCTAATAATTTTATAAATCATTAATAACGTAACAAATAAACTAAAACCCTTTGAGTACCGTCATTATAGACACAATTAAAGAACAATAGGTTGCAGTCACCGGTGTCCTCGCGGTGTTTGACATTAATATAATAAATATCAAATATCAGATAATTATAATATATGCATATGTTTTTAACATACCATCATGTATATTTCTGTAATGGTTGATATATGGAACAGTCAATCATTAGGTTGTCAGATTGTACAAATAGTATAGAATAGAATAAAAGTTCCAGTAATTAATTCATCATTTATTGAATCAAATGCATTAATGTATTGTGACTTCATATGTAGATTGAAATAATTTCCAAAAATCAGACGTCCGTAAAGAATAAAGTGCGCTTTGTAGCAGGTTATACCGGTCCTGATTCACAGTGCATTGGCTTTACTTTCGCATTCATATTTGCGGCGACGCGACGTTCAAGATACCTTTTAAATTAATGATGGTTATTCATGGTTTCATAGTGTTTGGAGAGGCGGGTACAATGTATTTTATTCATGTCATAACTTTTATGAGACATACTAAATTATTATATTTTTCGGCTTACTCACGTAATTATTTGACGAGGAACTGACTAGTTTCAAGCCGTGCTAGAGGCTCATATTCATGAGCAGCATTCCGCGACCCCCGACGAGTAGACTGTCGCGATGCTACTGAGACATGCTAGACTACATGCTGATGGTAAGCAATACACCAGGAGAGTTTCAAGCGCATTGCCGGCCTTTTAGGGGATTAGGAATTTGAGGATTGGGAATTCAGGGATTGAGAAGATATTTGACCTTTGGTAGCGTTGTTTCACACCGATTTCTGTGAAGTCGTACTTTGAACTTAACATTAAAGAAGTAGGTACCTAACACAGAATAGTGTCAGTAAACTTCACGTGGTCGATGTATTATTTTTTACTCTGGGGTGAGTTACTGAATCATAGATTTTTTAAACTTATTATTGGTCCTTCTTACAACTGCATAGCATAATATTGAAATTACACAAAACTATAATTTACTTACGAATTCTTACATGACCTTGGTATTAAAAAAGTAATCGCGTTATCTTGATAAAATAATCACAACCTTGAGCGAAATTATTATCTTGCATTGGAGTTTATTATTTATTTTTCGTACTGTTTATAGCTAGATGACGTGTTTTCTTTTTAGCGAGATTAAAAGTTATTTTTTTTTTAAGGGGGGAAAATCATCGAATGACTGCTCCCGCCTAGCTGAGGCGGGAGCGAGTGTCAGACTCTTACTGACTAAAAACCTCCCCGTTCCTTCTCCTGCACGTCGAGCCGGAGCCCCGGTAACCCGTTAGGTTCTCCGCGACAGCGAGATTACGGTATCACTTCCCTTTGTACGGACTGTGCCTATGGGCGAATAGTAGTTTGGGAGTGGCTGCGTGGCGAAGTGGGCTTGCAGCGAATACGTCGTGGATACGCTGCGGTTATGCAATGAATTCGTTACGAACGCGTACGTAATTTACTACGTGCAAGATCACGCGTCTGCGCCTCTAGCCCTAGCCCTAATAATCGCGGGCCTGCGGACGGCGAGCATGAGTGGCTCCCCGTCCGACCAGAAACAGACCCGAGCGTACGGCGCCGAGCGTTCCGCACGCTCC